CGGGTGTGCATTATAGCTAGACCAATGTGATGCTGAGATTGTGTCATTGCTACATTTACACTGTTGTAAAAGATAAATCAAGCAGTGTTAGACATCACACCTAGAAAATAGTATGACTTAAAAACAACAATGTTGGGCACAGTGTTATATCTGGTTGTGATCCATTTTAGGAGCCGACCGATGTGTTTTTTGTTGTTGAGGAGCCCAATAACGAATATTTGGAACTGATATATTTAGAATTACACAAACTCTAGCATAAGACATTATTGAGTTGTTCTTGTTTATTTGGGTTTAACGTATGTAAAAAGAAAAAAAATTGCTATTTATTCTACATTTTTTTATTGTGCTTGACGTGTAACCAGTCAGATAGAGTTGTGAGCTGGACATTGCTCAAAATGAGAGAATGACTAAAGGCAGAGAGGGGCCAGAGTAGCACATTGTAAATGAATTAATTTTATTGTGAGTCAGGTAAACAAAACAACAATCTTGTTAATTGGTAAAATGCTGTATACAGGATTTGACAGTTAGCCAGGCTGCTAATAGCTCAACTCCAGATCCATTTGTGCAGGCGTTCAGATAAATCTCCTCATCCAGTACGAGACAGTATGATTTATTGTTTATTGCCTGTTTAAGCCTGAACAGACTCCAGACCCTTCATAAGCAGTAACAGTAGAATCCCACTGTCATGTACTCAGTGCAGCCGTGATGTAATGCTGCTGATGACTTGCTCCGCTGTTCTTTCAGGCTGCTCTATGCGCCGTTCACATTGTGAGAAAAGTCCACGATCTGGGGGAGCTGTTTGCACCCGCTGCCCGCTCCCTCCTCTCTGAGAAGAACCACGGTCAGTAGACCTTAATGACATGTAGAGCTCATCCCAACTGTTTCCTATTTGTCTCCATTCTGTCTTTATTCTTCACCATTTGTCCTCAGGTGTGTTACACGGTGCTGTGGTGCTCATCACTGAGCTGTGTGAACGCAACCCAGAAACACTGGAGCGGTTCAGAAAGGTGGGAGAAACACACACACAAACCCTGATCTGATGATTTCAGCGTCTCCACGTGTGTTTTGTAACAAGTTTATGCTGTTTGTATTCCAGACAGTTCCAGATCTGGTTCAGATCATGAAAGGTCTGGTCATCTCGGGTTATTCTCCAGAACACGATGTGGCAGGAATCAGCGATCCCTTTCTACAGGTCAGCCTTCATTTCACTCGCTTCTTGTGCAGCACAGCTACCGAAATACATGGTTAATGTTGTCATACTGCATGCTCTGCAATATGACACGGCACCACACCTCTGCTGTTTCTAGAAACACAGCAGCTGAACCGAAACAGTTTGTTTTAATGATTTACTTTCCTTCATTAGTCTGTACAAATAAAATTACTCTTATTATTATTATCTACTGGGCTGCAAGGTGGAGCGGTGGTTAGCACCGATGCCTTGCAGCTAGAAGGTCGCCCGTTCACGTCCCGGTGAGGACACCCGGGATCTTTCTGCGTGGATTTTGCATGTTCTCTCTCATGTTCTCTCCGGGTTCTGTGGCTTCCTCCCACACAGTCCAAAGTCCAAGGTTAATTGGTGATCCTAAATTGTCCGTAGGTGTGAATGTGAGTGTGCTTGGTTGTCTGTCTCTAAGTGTAGCCCTGTGATAGACTGGTTACCTGTCCATTGCTGCCCTGAGTCAGCTGGGATAGACTCCAGCCCCCCACGACCCTCGTGAGGATTAAGCGGTGTATAGATAATGGATGGATGGATATATTATTATTAGTAGTATTATCCTGATTTCAGTTTTATTATAGCCACAGTTAACAGTTAACATCTAACACTGGACTTAAATATTTGCAGCACAACAAGGGAAACTAAACTGAGGTCATTCAAAATATGGAATATGTGTATGATGTACATAATATGAAGTGGGCAAAAATGTAGAAAAACTATTATGTAAAAAAAATACACAGTGTATAACATGACTTGCATATATCCAGTCTGCATGATTGTATATTTTTATTGGCACAGCACTGGATTTCTGCACATAGTCGGGTCTGTGCAACAACATTTTTTTTTTCCTATCCCAGTATGTTGTACTGTATTAATAAATCAGAAACATTTTTGGTTGATTTAAAGTTGATTTAAGGTTGTATGTGACTTACTTTTTAAACAACTACCTTGTGTTTCTTCATGGCTCAGATCCTAAATTAGTGCACTATAATTAATTGTTCATGTTTTTTCAGCTCATGTCTTTCTCACCAACACACACACAGGTTCACGGTCTCCTCCCTCCCTCTGCTTCTGCTGATTCGATGTACCAAAATAACTTGTTGTCCATCTGTTCCCTCTCTCCTGCCTCCATCCCCAGGTACGCATCTTGAGGTTGCTGAGAATCCTCGGGCGCAACAACGAAGCGGCGAGTGACGCCATGAACGACCTCCTCGCTCAGGTTTGTTTGCTGTTATTTTTCTGTTCTTTGTTCCTTCTCTGTAAAAGAAGAAAAAAAAAAAGATTTTTCAGTACTGCAAAATCAGCTGCCTCCCAACTTCTGTTGATAAAGTTTCTGGAGGCGTCACTTCTCTCTTTGTTCAGACTGATTCATCAGTGACGGATGTTTTGTTTTATTCCCGTCAACCTGAAACATGCATCGCCTCCTGTGTGCCAGAGGATTTTCCTCTGGAAAGACTGCCATGGGAAAAAAAAAAAACTGCTATAACTCTTATGACCTCACAAAAGAGGAAACACTTTGCTGCCTGTTAAATGTTAATCTGTTGCAATAGAGAGAAAGGGTGGATTTGTCCAGGATGTCTTTCTGAGAGAAGTACTAAAGTAACAGCTTATTTATAGTATGGCAGTGAACAAAAAAAGCTTTGAATGTTGAACGGTTTGACAGGTTTAATCTGTGGAATTCTTATTGAACATACAGTCGTCCTCAAATGTGTTCATACCCTCCCATTAAAGAAGGAAGACAACAGCTGTCACTGAAATAAATTGAAATTGACAAAAGTAATAATAAATTTAAATGTAATGAAAATCATGACATAGCTTTTGAATTGTGGTTTAACAGAAATCTAATAATAATAATAATAATAATAATAAGCAAACAAGCATGATGGGACCCATGAACTAATATTCTACTGAACAACCCTTTGAGCCAATCACTGCAATCAAGTGTTTTCTGTAACTCTCAGTCAGTCTTCTGCACCTGTTGACAGGTGTTTGGATTTCACTGCTCATCAGCAAAGTGCTCTAATTTATCCAGGACAGTTTTTTAAATTATGCTTTTTAACCACAATTCAAAAGCAATGTCTTCTTTCACTAAATTATAATTTAGCATTTTTTAAAAATTTATTATTGCTTTTTACATTTTCATGTTATTTGTGTGACTATTGTGAATTTTGCCTTTTCTTTGATGGAAGGTTGTGAATACGTTGGAGGACGACTGTATGAGAGACTTCCATAAGTTGATAAAGGAGCTTCCTCATTTCTCACAGCGGCCTGAGCTCTCTATTTTTGACCCTACTTATGTTACACACAACTTTAACCCAAAAATATAGAAGCATTTCGTTTTGCTGAAAATGAGTAAACATATGAATAACTGATTACCACTAGATGTTGAACATGGGGAGGAAAGATAGACCTGAGTTTGTTTTCACAAGCCTGACCTCAGAGTGGGTGTTCAATGTAGCTCATTTACATGTTGACTCATTGCTGTCAGTTTATAGTAGCAGGAAAACAAAAATGAATATTAATTCAAACAGATCTTTTCATATCTGTTTCACATAAATGAATATATTTTTTTTGTACTCGTGTGTGGGATTTGTCATCCAGGTGGCGACCAACACTGACAGCACTAAGACTGTGGGTAATGCTGTGCTGTACGAGACAGTTCTCACCGTACTGGACATCAAGTCAGAGAGCGGCCTCAGGGTGAGAGACTAGTCACACTTCTCATCACGTCAGTACACAGGGAATAATGACACCTAATTATTTTATTGAATGCACTTCGATGTCCTTGTGCCACAGGTTCTGGCTGTGAACATCCTGGGAAGATTCCTCCTCAACAACGACAGGAACATTCGGTCAGTGCTGCTTTTCCTTCCCCCTGCGTTACTTCCTCACCACAGTCCTGTTTCTCTTTCCCTTTCTGTCCCTCCCTCCCTCCTTTCTCTCTTATCTCTCAGGGTCATTTCACCTTTTCCATTCCACAAGGCCGACGGCAAACTCGCTGCAGCCAAAGACAGGAAACCCTCCCAACAGGCTGTAATCGTCTGAGCTGACTAATTACTTTCCCCAGAGTTTTTCCTCCAGAGCCACACCAGAAGGTCACTGTCTGTCTTTTCATGCTGATCTCTCAATTTCAGGCCATGTCATCTTTCAGCGGGCGCTGTGGAGGCCTGATGCAGCTTCCTTGGGGTTTTGTTGTGCTACTATTTTTTTGAGGTTGTCTCCATCTGGACCTTGTGGGCAGACAGGTCTGTCTGGTTTTCACCTGCGGGGCCCCTGGTTCTGTCTGTGCCTGGGTGACAGTAATAGGACTGGTTTATTCCTGCGAAACCTGCCCTACGAGATACCATCTCTCCTGTGCCCACATAAATACTTTATCAGTTCATGAGTTATTTCAAGTGGGAAGATAAATTATTTATCCTGGCAAGCTGAGAAAATTAAGTTTGTACAGCAGCGCTGTTCATTTATCTTTACTGTCAGCTGAGGGTTTGACATTTTTCTAAATGTAATTTAATACCTTATTCATTTAAATATATTTTACTACACGACAGATTAAGTCTAACTGACCTTGGTGAAGACCCCAGGGAGTTCAGCTTAACACGGTTTTATCATAATGCCGTCTGAAACTTGAAATCTTTATTTTGCCGATCCTGTGTCTCTGTCCAGGTATATCGCAATGACATCTCTTCAGAGGATTGTGGGGACAGACCATAATGCAGTGCAGCGTCACCGGGGAACCATAGTGGACTGTCTGAAGGACCAGGATGCTTCTGTCAAGCGGTAACGTTTGCTGCTTCTCTCCTTGTCAGCTGGTGTTTCACAGATGTTCAGTCAACTTGTGAGTGTGAGGTCATGGTTTTACAATGTCAGCCCCAAACGTGTGTTATGAGAGATTCTCTATAAGGATGGGGTTTCTTTTTTTGTGTTTGTGACAGTTTTTAATGGCTCACATGAGTAGCCATTCTAAACTATTCTACTCCTGTAGAAGTAAAAGCGACCTGGCAGCATCAGCGTTCTGTATTTTGATTGGATGGCAGCAGGGTACGACTCCCCCACTGTGGGTACTGGCTACCTCCAATTTCTAAATCCACAGGAGTACATTTCAGATTGTGTGCAGAGCATACGTTCTCCTAAATGTTGTGCTTTTGTGGCTGGGGTGGGTCAGAGGTCCAGACTAACTTGTTGACTGGTAGCAGTGGTGCGACCATCTTTCACAGTTGATGTACATGATGGTCGCACCTCTCCAGCCTGGTATTAACCAACCTTGCACGCTAATAAATAGTTACTTTTCATACTCTAGTTTTGCATTGCATTGATGGAAGGGTTTGATAGTGACCTCTGACTACATTTTTGCAAAATCTTTATCAGATTATTATCAATAAAATTTGGTTGGCAGTCTTTTCCTGCAAGTTGTCTGATATCACTCCTGTAAAATGGACACAGGCTCAACTCTGTATTGATTGACACTACAATGTACTATTGTTCCCTAAATGCCTCACATGCAGGCTACAGTAGATGCTGCTAGGCGGTGTGTGACCAAAACTTAGTTTGAAAAGAGTGAAATGAAATCATGGACATAACATGACACGGGCTGTTTCCGTGTGTGGTTTTAAATGTTAATACTGCAGTCATGTTCTTTTAATTTTAAGAAGCCAAAATCATGACTAGTTTTCATTTAATTTGCTCTAGTAAGTAGTCTCCTTCTCCACCAGCCTGCTCCTCTCTCTCAGCTGTAGATAATTTTATCTTTGGAACATGCTAACAGCTAAATAGTTTGTTTCATGCATCAGGTAGGGCCAGTGAAGCAGAAAAAGCATGACTTTCACCACTTTGACTAACACAGGAAGCCTGCGCCGGCTGGAGGGACTCAGAAACAGCCTAACGATCACCATGCGCTTGCACAAAAACGGCAGCATCACACATCAAACCGTGAAACTGTTGCTTCATGTTTCTCTTTATTGATCTGTTTGTTCTCTGCTTGTGGAGAGTTGTGTTATTAAAAGTAACTGGATAACTGTAAAATTAGCTCCTGCATTTTAGCTCCTGTCTTGTCAGCTACCTTGTGAATTCCAGCCTCACTGATGAGGATGGTAATAATGCAATACGCAGCTGATCCCCTGTGGAGAGATGCTTATCATGTAACAATGTGACAATACAGACAGGCGGGTGTGTTGCAGGGTGTATTTTCCTGCTCTGAAAATTCTTCAACAAACACACCGACATAAACAACACAGAGTCAAAGGACTGGCCTGCATCTACTTTATTATTAACATTGATCCTGTTCTCCCGCCCATCTAGCCGTGCACTGGAGCTCTCCTTGGCTCTGGTGTCAGCTACCAACATCCGCTCCATGATGAAGGAACTGCTCCTCTTCCTCTCCTCCTGCCCCCCTGAGCTCAAATCTCAAGCTGCCAGCGGCATTTTTAATGCTGCTGAAAGGTGCGTGAAGACAAGTCAATGTGCACATTCAATACTTCAATGCATACACAACCTATCAATGCATGCAAGCACACATTTTGCACATTTATGCATGCGTATCCGTTTAGTGCACTGTCTTGTGCCAAGCTGGGATTGGTGTTGTTGTAAAGAAAATAAAGACAGTGGTGCCAAAATGTGATGCAACTGTTCAAGCGTTGAGGCGAAAACAAAAAGTCTCTGTGCCTGAGATACACACTGTATGTAGCCACATGTCTCACTCTGTGTCTGTCTCCACTCTCGGCGACACTTCTGTGTCTTTAACTGGCACTCTTACACTGAATAGCCTTCTGTGTCTTTAGTTCACACCAGTCGTCGACTTGATGCACTTCTCTGTTTGCGTGTCTGTGAGTGTGCAGTAAGAGGATATAGATGCAATAACGCGTGTTCCCCCTCAAGCACCACTGAGTTAGCTGTGTGTGTCTCTGTCTCTGTCAGGTATGCTCCCTCCCAGCGCTGGCACATTGACACCATCCTGCATGTCCTCACCACGGTAAATACAGACTGAGACACTGCCTCCTATGGGGGTTCCTCCTTCACAACTCTTTTAAGGTTCTCTAAGGCAGTCTTTAATGCTCTGTGCCTTAGTGTAGAGACCACAGACCTGATATGTTGTGCACCACTTCTGTACAAATCCTAGAGGCAGGATGAGGCCTGAAAGTGTCACTTGTTTTAATGTTCTTCATGTTATAAAAGCAAAACAATAGCAGACTTTCTTTATATACCCCTTTTAAGTTAAAAAGTTGTTTACAGGACAAAAATAAAAATTTAAAAAAAAATAGTGCAGAAATGATGATAAAACAGTTTTAAAATTGCAGGGGGAAGAAAATGTGCAAAAAAAAAGCACATATACAAAGGACTAAAAGAAGAAAAAGCAATAACAATTGACCTTCTGTACCCTGTAATCTACCAGCAGCTGTCAAAGGCATGCTATCTTCCAAAATCCTACCATTTATTAGAGTCAGAAACTGTAAAAACTAAAATAATCATCAGATTTCTACCTTTTAGTCTGTCCCTGAAATAATTATGTGAGACGTCCAAACTTAAGAAATCCAAGTTTAAGAAATCTAAGCTTAACAAATGTAAGCTTAAGTTTGTGATTTTTGATGAACATCGCTTTATTGCCCAGGTCACATTTAAAATTTGCCAAAGAAAGGAAGCCTTTCACATCTGATTCTGTAACAAACTTAAATTCCATGCTGTTTGGTGAAAACTGAGAAGCCATGACTGACTGAGCTGTGTAAGAAATTCAGGGACTTTTTGGTCAAAATAGGATGAACTGCAGGCTGTGTTTACACCGGACAAGTAGGGGAAGAAAGATAGAAATACATTTGAGAGATTGAGAGAAAAATAAAGCATACTTAAGGAGTAAAATAAATGCAAGAGGAGGAGCAAGTTTACAGCAAGTTGTTGTAAGATACATTCAGCATGGTGAAACGAGTTGATATGCAGTCGTGTGAAAAATGCTGAATTTGTAAAACTTTGTGTACTGTAGAGCTGCCATTTTTCTTTGCAGTAATGGTAACACCTGCGAGCACTTGGAGCACATGTGTTGATTCAGATTTTTTTGCAACAATTTTTGAAAAATAAGTAATCAAAGAACCAGAACTTTAACTGGCATTATGAATGAGTCACACTAAACAGAAAACATTTTTGAGTTCTCTCTACTTCTAGTCATGGTTGCGCTGTTTCCATAGAAGTGCAGGACTGTATATTGCAGTAAAAAATGAGCCCACAGTGAGTGAAAATGTGACAAGATTTTTAAAAATGCCTAAAAACTTCTTCGGGTCCAGAGGGTTAATTCCAATATTCAATCAACAAAATATGAGTTAATGGAATGCATTTGTATCAGATAGGTTTTTAGAAGTGACGTAAACGATAGAAGTGAATTCAGACCGCTCACACTGTGAACATGCATTTATGAAGATATGTTTTTAAGAGGGATTTAAAAGAGGATAAAGAGTTTGCCCGTCTAATCTCCTCGGGGAGTGTCACCATTGGTCCACAGCATAGATTGCAGAGGCCAACAGAGCTTCGCCTGAGGACCTCGTTTTGTAACAGGGCGCATAAAGTGTCAGAAGATCTGAGATATATTTGAGTGTGAGTTAAGAGTGGGTCTTAGGAGATTATCAATAATATCATGAAAGGAATTCTAAAATGTACTCAGAGCCAATGATGAGAGGCTAAAATAGGAGTAGTCTGCTCTCTTTTTTGTTTGTTTTTGGTGGAGTCTGGCTGCTACAGTTTGGATAAGTTGTAATTGATTAACTGATGTGTTCAGACTTGACACACATAGAGAAGATGAAACAAAAGTATGGCTGACATGAAGAGTCTAGCTAAGAGAATAAATAAAACCCACATGATTGCTGTAAAAGCTAATGCCCAAACTAATCCTTTGCTGATGATGGTGGGTAGAAGAAACGTATGGACAGAGTAATGATGGAGATGTGGCATGAATTAAGAGTCAGCTCAGTTTGGTTAATGTCTTTTATGATGTGTATGAATTGCTGTGAAAATGTCTGCTTCCTGAAGTTACTGTAAGAAAACGCAGTGTGACCCAAATACCTGGATCAGCCGTCGAGCTAATGGTGTTTGGTGTTTGCGATTCCCACTCTGCCAGGCAGGGGGCGACGTAAGAGACGAAACAGTGCCCAACCTGATCCAGCTCATCACCAACACCTCGGAGCTGCACTGTTACACCGTCCACAAGCTGTACCGGGCTCTGCTCACCGACATCTCTCAGGTCTGTGTAGTTTCTGTTCTCACTGCTGCTCTCCAGAGCTTTGGGAAGATTGGATTATGACTTTATTGTTTATTGATCCACAAAGAGTCCCCAGACTGCTGAGTGACCCAGACCGTGAAACAGTTTGTCTTTCTCACAATAAATCTGATATCAATAAATAAGAGTGGCAGCACCTGAGCAGCAGTCGTCAGAACAAAACAATAAAGTCATAAAAAGGTAATGATGTAAATTTGTGAGGAAAACACGATCAGACTTTGCTCAGCTATTCAACAGAGTCCAGTGAAAGGGGAACTGTTCACTCCACTGAAGGCAGCTCTGATGTAGTTTCAGATAGAGCAAAGGAAACGTGATGAAGTCAGTCAAAACATGAGCCTGGTTCCTTGATTGTGACTTCACCCTAAAAATCCAAATCCATTCCCTGTTGTTTGTTCTACAAATAGACACATATTCATTTGAATATTCATCATCAGAGATTGTGATAGACTAATTAAAATCCCTCCATGGTTGTTGATTTAACACCTCAAAACGCACTTTTGTGTATTAAAGTTAACTTTTTTATTCCATAAAAATAATCCCTTTTAGTCCTAAAATGGCTTACATGTAAAATTCAAGCCTGTCTGTCTGCCCACCCCTCCTCAGTTACTGCAGCTTCAGCACACCAGCTCACCTATAACTCTGCTCAAACACTGTAGAACTACTCTACATGATGGCAAGTTGTATTATTGAAGTGATTCAGCTGTAAATGTTTGAACTAAAAGAAGAATAACGATACAGAAAGTTCCACCCTGCAAGTCGACAGGAATGATTCTACTGGCCATTAAAAACACGACATCGTCAACCATGAATTAGAGACGTATTGGATATGGAAAGCTTCATTTTATAATTCAAATCATGAAATGGGGGCTGCAAGGTGGCTCAGTGGTTAGCATCATTGCCTCGCAGCTAGAAGGTTGCTGGTTTGCGTCCTAGTGAGGACACCCGGGATCTTTCTGCATGGAGTTTGCATGTTCTCCCCGTGCAGCATGGGTTCTCTCAGGGTTCTCCGTCCCACGAGTCCAAAAACATGTTGAGGTTAACTGGTGATTCTAAATTATCCGTAGGTGTGAATATGAGTGTGCTTGGTTGTCTGTGTAGCCCTGTGATAGACTGGTGAAGCAGTGTATAGATGATGGATGAATGGATGAAAATCATGAAATGGAATTTGTGCATAAATGTCACAATTACGCTTTGAGACAGTTTTGCTCGTATAGAAATGTCTTCTGCTGTCGTCCTGAGCCACACAGAGCTGCTTCGGTTCTACTACAGTAAGAACAGCTAGGCTTTCAGTTTGAAACCGGCTGATGCAACCAGATTTATTTTTGGATCCAAGTCAGATGAGCAGCCATGTACTCATCTGCAGCGCGCTGCAGTTTCCCATCTTCCGACATATGAACGTGCTGTGAATTTGGGGGGAAATTGGCCCTTATGTTTTAAATCTGCCCATCTGACGAAAACTTCAAGTAATATTCAGCAACTGTAATTTACTGCGTGAGTAATGTGTGGACGCAATATTTGTCCGTGCAGCAATCTCTGGTCCAGGTGGCCTGCTGGTGTATAGGAGAGTACGGAGACCTGCTGCTGAGAGGAGAGTGTCAGGAGACCGAACCTGTGCAGGTACACCGAGCACGACAAACACTCGTTTATGTTTTCATATCTAAACACGCTGTTGTTTACTGATCGTTTCTACAGCTGATTAAATTCAACCTATTGCTAAATTGTAATAACTCTTGCATTTTCAGTTCGAAATACCCATTTCTGAAAAATACCTCAGCACAAAGAAAATGATATATTTTAAACGTTTGGCTGCAACTACAGCTGATTGCAAATAAGCAGAAGATCAAAGTAATCAGGATGCGCAATATTAAGTTTCAGGGCGGAAAAAGAAATTCAAATTTAATCAACTAAATGTTCAAGTAGTTCAACTATTTTTTTCTTGATGATTGAGTAAAGTAAAAGCTGTCTGATCTTCATACAGTAAATATGAAAGATAAATTAACTGTAACCCTCTCTATCTGCTGAACACTTGCTGTCATACTTGTAAAAAGGTGCCAGTAAGGCGACTGTAGTTTTTGGATTAGAAAAATGTAAAGCGTCTTTCAGAGCCTGCGTTCACGTGTTTCTCCATCAGGTCACAGAGGATGATGTCCTGGACGCCTTGGAAACGGTTCTACAGTCCCACATGTCGTCCCCGGCGACCAGAGGCTTTGCTCTCACGGCCACCATGAAACTGAGCACCCGCATCACTGATAACGTCGAGTAAGAAGCACTGTTTTACATTTACAGCACACAGTGACCAGATGCAGCTGAAGTGCACTAATAAGCCACTGTGTCTGTTTCAAAGATTGTTTTTTCTCTTTGGTAACATAAAAAAAACACTATTATTACTCAAGAATTTGCATTTTTGTGTGTTAAGTCTTAGCTACATGTTTCCTGTAGCAGAGTTTTGTGGATCTAACATCTGTTTACAAGGAGTTCTTTGGAAAATACTCCTGATTAAGATCACATGCAGTTGTAGTAGTTGCAGCATTTACCCAATAGTCGCCTAACTGCTTCTCTTCCTCTTCATCACTTTGCTCCTGCTAGTCGCATCAGAAGCATCGTCAGCATCTACGGCAGCTGTATAGATGTGGAGCTCCAGCAGAGGGCAGTTGAATACAATGCTCTGTTCAAAAAATATGACCACATGAGGTACACAACACAAGTCGACCTTTTGTTTTCTTTATATGCATTATTTTTGGCCCTATTATTTCCCCTATGGAGCGGAGCTATTTTGGCCTTTTACATATTGTGATGGTGCTTCTCTCCACAGGGCAGCAGTGCTGGAGAGGATGCCTGTGATCGAAAAGAACTCTCCGGGTCACACCAACGGGGAGTCGACAAAGGAGGCCGTGAAGGAGATCCAACCTGCCAAAGTCAAACAGGCGGAGACGCTGCTGCCACAACAGCCCACTAACCAGGTACAGGATGAAGATACGCTCCACATGCTTAGTCAGGGCCACGTTTATGACTCCTTGAAGAGATTATAAATCCTGTTTCTCAGTGTCTAACCTCGTTTCGGTGGCTCCCAGGTAATTTTAATATTTTAATTACACATTTTTCAACATCACCATGTCAGACCCTGAGTTAAACCCTACTTAACTGAGATTTAAATGTTTTATAGTTTCACAGATTTAAAATTAAGCTGAAACCTGCACAAGCAGTAAGCTGGTAGATATTTGCATGTGACACATTACACTTCATTTTGCGGTGACATTACTGTACCTTCTGTCAGAGGCTGTCCATCATAAATATTGGCCTCGTTTACTGAAGGACACTGTTAACAGTTAGCTCTTGTGCCAACCAGCAAATTTTATCCCTCCTCCACCATCTATACTTTTTCCCTGCATGTGTTTTTGTGCAAAACCAGTTCCAGCAAAGTAAAGCTAACTGACTTAACAGCAGCGTACTGCTGATGTCTCTCACTTCTCTTTTAACCAGGTGTTACAGTACAAGAGAGTTTCTTCAGTTCAGTTATCCATCACATGTAGATGCATAAGTTCCCTGTGGTTTTCTGTCTTCCAGGTGTGTGATCTCCTGGACCTGCTGGGAGGCTCTGAGGAGCCTCTGCAGCCCAACTCAGCAGCAGGCAGCACAGTCCCCGTCCTGCCCATCAGCACAAGCAGCACTGCTGGAGGAGACCTGCTGGATCTGTTGGGAGGCTTGGAGCCCGCTCCACTCACACCAGGTCAGCTGTTAACACCTGCAGAGGCTGCCAAGGGGAAAGAAACAAAAAATGAGGAAATGATTTTGAACATGAAACTAAGACTGAGAATGTTCAGGAAACTGAAACTTGTCTTCAGTGCTCTGAATCAGGCCAGTAGATAGACAGTAGTAGGGCTGGTCTGAATAGTAATGTCTGGTCTCCTGATATTCGGCCCAATTAGTGACGAATATCCCGAATATTTGGGAGGGAGAGGGGAGCGAATATTCAGAGATCAAAATTGCTACCCCGATACCAGCACAGCGACCGAATATTCGGATATTCGGGTCCAGCCCTAGTAGATAGTCTCCCTAAAGTGACTGTAATTATGAGACAACAGGTGGATGACGCTGCAGTTTAAGTTTTTACTTCAAGGGACTGTTGTTTTGTGATGTTGTTTTGAATCAGTGCAACATTTTCTAACGTGGTTGTTCTCCATCCGTAGCTCCAGCAGTGACAGTGTACGAGAAAGGCGGTGTGACTTTAACACTCAGCAGTGAGAAACAGTCAGACTCGGGACTAATGGTGACACTCACAGCCTCCAACTCCACTGACTCAGACATCAGCAGCTTCACCCTGCAGGCTGCAGTGCCCAAGGTTTGTAGCGCAGCCGGTAATAAAACACACCGTCCTGTTTATCATCCGCAGACAAGCTTTACTGTCCAGCAGGCTTTCTCTGCCGGCAGCCGGTATCAGAAACTGACCTTGGGTTCAGATACGAGGGACTGTCGAGCTACTCGTTAATGTGTCACCAGATACATTTTCAGTGTAAGATGCACAATCAGGTAATCATCAGAAAATTTACTGACAGGATGAGATTTTGCATTTTAATCTGAGATCGGTGCACTAAGTGATGCAGCAGATTCCTGCCTCATTGTGCGATTTTTCTGTTAAGGATGGAAAGCAGTTCGACGGTTTCACCACATTTGACCATTTTGTGTTGTGTTGTGTTGAGCTGCTACTGCCGTTGTAGGAGGTTGGGTTGTTACGGACTTGAGAAGAAATAGTATTTTTTTTTAATTTTTTTTTTGCAGTTCATTTTGACCTAGTTTTTAGAGTAAATATTAGATTAGATGAGATTAGATTAGATTGCATTTTATTTTTCACCACAAATGGGGAAACTCACTTGTTACAGCAGCATGGATCCAGGAAAGAGCACAAAAAAGTAACAGGAAGAAAAGAGAAAAAAAAAAAACAACAAATAGGAAGAGCTGAGAAATGTAATGCAATAGAGCTACACACACACACACACTATATATATATATATACACGATAGATCCATATAATGGATACTATGAACTTCCATCCATTCATTATCTATACACCGCTTAATCCTCACTAGGGTTGTGGGGGGGCTGGAGTCTATCCCAGCAGACTCAGGGTGAAGACAGGTCACCAGTCTATCACAGGGCTACACTTAGAGACAGACAACCAAGCACACTCACATTCACACCTACGGACAATTTAGAATCACTAATTAACCTCAACATGTTTTTGGACTGTGTGGGAGGAAGCTGGAGAACCTGGAGAGAACCCACACTGCACGGGGAGAACATGGAGACTCCATGCAGAAAGATCCTGGGTGTCCTCACCGGGACGCGAAACAGCGACCTTCTAGCTGCAAGTGCTAACCACTGAGCCACCTTGCAGCCCAACCCAATAAATAAAAAAGATAAATAAAATAAAATATGGTACACTATAATAATTATTGCACATAAGGAAGATAAATTGCACACAGTACGGCAGGGGTGGGCAATCCTGGTCCTGGAGGGCCACAATCCTGCATGTTTTAGATGTTTCCTTCTTCCAACACACCTGATTCACATGATCAGGATCGTTATCAGGCTTCTGCAGAGCTTGATGATGAGCTGATCATTTCAGTCAGGTGTTTTGGAAGAGGGACACATCTAAAACACGCAGGACTGTGGCCCTCCAGGACCAGGATTGCCCACCCCTGCAGTACGGGGTATATTACACGTGAGAAAACCTGGGTATAATATTATATATAAATATCTACATTTCTACAGTTTTAGGTTTTTCAAAATCGAGTTAAATACAACAATAAAATCAAAATATTGGATTCAGAGAAGAAGGATTTTGTATTTCTCCACTGTGATTTTACTGCTGGCAGTGGAGCAGAAAATGTGACATTCATAGAAATATTAACTGAGCAACAGAATGAGTAAATCTACACGTACCGCCTGTCCAATCAAACATGTCTTTGATTGTGGGGGTTTTGGACTGGAGTGTTTCCTGGCCTGCTGCTGCTCGGTGTCCGTTTTAGCCTCCGTAATGCTGTCGTTGGTCGACATCAGTGCAGCAAATAGAAGTGAACAACACGTGTGTTTTGGTGCTTTTAACTTCAAAGCTTCATTTGATCCCCCTCGCAGAGCGTCCAGTTACACATGAAGGCCCCCAGCGGGGACTTTCTTCCTGCACGAGGCGCAGCTAAAGTGACCCAGATGGTGGTCCTCAACAACCCAAACAAGGTGGGTCTGCAAAACACACACAACAAAGCTGGCATTCCACATTCAAGGTTGTCCTTATTTTCTATCAAATCTTATCAGTCGTCTGCCAATCAGACTGAAAAATAGACTTAATCTTCTCTTAAAAACATGTGAAGCATCTTGTAGTAATGTTCTAGGTTGTGTTTGCAGCACAGCCTGTTCCAGCAGCATGTATCTAAGTCCTGACTCTACCTCCAGGTTAATCTGAAAATGAGGATCCGCGTCTCGTACACCAGCCAAGGATCAGCTGTTCAGGATACAGTCCAGGTCGACTCCTTCCCCGAACACTGACGGCAGCCAGTCGGTGCAACAACAACAACATCAGTGTGGATGAATCAGCAGGCGTCGCCTCCGTCTGACGGAGTCTTTCTGCCGTCACGCCCTCCACGCTGCCATCCGAACTGCTCTCTCTCAGAAAGCTGAATCTGTTGTTTTTATGTCTAAGGAACTCTGTACTTTCACAGGAGTATTTTTCCCCCTCTTCTGGAACTGAAATACTAATATAATTATAAGCACAGACTTTGGAATTTGCAGGTGTATAATGGACAAAGTGAAGGAGGGATTCCAGTCACAGCTGTACATACAGATGTTGTCCATTAGGTACCATTCAGGGTTTTTGTTTACAAGCTGCTACAGCCGATTGTATTCAGTGTTTCACTCCATAATGACACATATTTAGTGGCTTCTGTCAGTCGGTGTAACCTACTAGATCAACTTTGCCCACACATCACTCCACGTATACTCCTGTTTAAAGTAGGTGAACACTAACGAATGAGCCACTGATATGAAGCTGTTGTATCCGGAACACTTGATTTTATTGTGGAATACATGGCTTTGAAGGGTGGAGGATTTTAAACACAACCTTATGTGCTGCACTCATGTGTCTTCTGTTGATTCCTTTTATTTTCTTGCCTCATTCAACTGAGCAGCTCAGAATACCCAAGTATCCATTTCCTTCTTCATTCCTGTGCCTTTCATCCCCTCTTAAGATGTAATTATATTTAGCTTCAGAGACGACTGAGAATATTTAAATGTAAATTATGATCCCTCATACGAGCAACACCTAATTTTCCCCTGACATAAATCCCATTGTCTATTGTTTACAAAGGCTCCTAACAGACTTATTTTATTTTCTCAAGACTGTGTACAGTAATGCAAGAACAAACAGAGGCACGACGCTACCTACAAGATGTATATTTTAGATATTATACATAGAAGCACAACTAAGAGTCTATGGAGAACACAGCCATAATGTAATACAACCCCCTGTTGTTTAAAAAAAAAAAAAGAAAAAAGAAAAAGGTGGCTGTGAAAAAAACCTTTTAGTGAAGCGAGAATTAAACTCATTTCATAATCGCAGGCCTCGTTTAAAAACACTCAGCAACGGTGCTCCAAATGGATTTCAGTGGAATTTCTACCAGACTGTTTCATATCACTACCTTGACTAAAATGTAGAGAAAAAAAAAAAAAAGACCAGAAGGAAATATTCTGTCAGCTGTTTAGTCTTTGAATCTTCATTCTCGTGTTATTTTCTAATAAAAACCGTTTTCAGAATCCTCGGCGGTGACTTTTCTTGGTGTGTGTGTGCGTGTGTGTGTGCGTACATCAGAGGACGACGCTTCAGTCAACTTCAGCATTTATTCACAAGCAAAAAAAGACCACAGTGTTCTCAAACTGTCTCTTGTACTGTATGGGTGCCTGCATCAGCTGGTCAAACTCAGAAAGCCAATGTGGGTTTACAAAAACATCTACAAAGGAATGAGAACGTCCTTTTCTTTTTTCTTTTTTAATCAGTTGGTTGGTTGATTTTTTTTTCTTTTGCCCAGGAACGTGGGATTTCAGATTTCTGCGCTGTAACAAGGTTAGACGGTGACAGACACCTAAAGCGTTGGCACTCAGCTGGCCCCCCATGACGACAGCGACTCATGACGAGGAGGAGACGTGTATGCAGCGACGACTGTGGAGCTCTGATCCTCCTCTTAGCGCCAACACGAGGTGGAGCACCGAGCCTCCCTGGATCTTGTAGTCTGCTGCCGTCTTCTCATCGTTCCTGAGGGCGAGAATACACATGAGGGTTTATAGGGAGACCAATCCAAATACTGCAGATAAAAAAAAAATAATTAAAAATCCAAGAGGAGCTCACATCTGTTTTCCACTGTAGATGAGTCTTTGTTGCTGCGGGGGAATCCCTTCCTTCTCCTCCACCCTTTCTTTAATTCGCTCCACCTTGATCGACACAAAAAGCGAGAGATTTTAGAAAAGTGCCCGCTGAGTCAGTCGTACTTGCGTTTGTTAATGGGATGGTGCGGGACGACGCGTTTGGAGCTTGTCACCTTGTCTGTGGGCTCAATGTCGATTTCTATTTCTTTTCCGGTGAGAGTCTGAAACATAATGGGAAAATAATTACAACAGCCGCCTTCTTCTGGGTTTTGAAATGTCACAATCTGCATTAGACAAGGACTTTTTATTTAACACAAAGCAGAATAAACACAACGACATTTGATTTGCTTTTATGTGTCAGCTGTATTACTACTGCAAATATTTTTAACAGTCTGTTTTGATTAAAGTTAGCTGACAGATGTCTATTTCTCTCTGCCATCCTTTTCTCTCTCCCCTTCACCCTCAGCCCAACCAGTCGAGGCAGACAGCAGGCCTCCCTGAGCCTGGTTCTGTTGAAGGTTTCTTGCTGGTAAAGGGGAGTTTTTTCCTTCCCACTGTCCCCACGGCGTTCAGATGGAATCATATTATTTTTCTGCTTTTTCTTTGTAATATAATGTTGCACGGTCTTGAGCTTTCTATGTGAAGTGCTCTGAGATGCGTGATGTTGTAAAAGAGTAAAGAAACCAGAAGATATTCAAACTGAGAATTTTGGCGATTGATTTATCGGTTGACAACTAACTGATCCGTCATTGCGGCTCTGCTTGACACAAAACCAGAGAGAAGTTCGAGAGCAGACAGATGACTCAGCTGTTTCTTCTCTCAATCGGCTACATCGTGGTTGGGTACCTTGTAAAAGCATAAAAACTGCTGGCCAGCATGCAAAGTGTATCTATGGGCGACTTGTCACTAGAGCCAAACAATGAATTGATTTATGTTTGGAGTTTGCATCTGAAACAATGCAATTAGCAAATAATAAAAAATCATTTAAAAAAAAAAAGCAGTTTAGGCTAAACATTATGCAGCAATTATTACTTGTACTTGATTGCAGAATGTGCAATATGTCTACAACATTCCCCGATGAAAGCCTTCAAACCAAAGGTCACAGGACTTTTGTAGTTATCATAGCCGGGCTCTGGAACAGTTCCATATTAAATCATGTAATTACAGTATCGGCAATTTCTCTTAGTGGGGTCATAACTTCATTTCTAGATTATTCGGATTATTCTCCATAATTAATAACACAGTAGCCTGAATGTCTAAATTAGTAGTTCTGTAATAGTACTGTGGAGTCTTAGCCTTAATAATATATGCTAGTCTGGTAAAACTGAATGCTATATAATCGTTTCTAGGGTTTTAATCCATAATATTTCTACTACTGGGGTAAATTCACCTCATAAGTAACACTGGAGCTTCTTAACTTTAACATTTCTCATGTTTGGGTTCATTCTTAATGCCAATTCTGCTTTTTACTGGGATCGTAGCTCAACTGCTGGTTCTATGTGTGGTATATGTGCTACATCAGTAATCTGACTTGACTTAAGTTAAAGATCAGTTCATATTTTTTATGGTGTTAAATATATTATACAATAAATATGAGACTGAGGCTTAAATGAATTGCTATAATCAGCACACTTGTCAGAAAAATCGTAACTACTTTCCCCTCCCAAATCGTCCAGCCTGACTCGTCACGTCTTCTGTCAACATTAGTTCACAGATAAGAAGAATCACTGATTTTATGGGAACGTAAAGCACCCAGACCGGCTAACATTCTGCTTTAATGACATTTAAGTTGCAGTAAGTTAGCATGCTACCTGCTCAGTGGCGAGCGGAGTCAAATTAAAGCAGGCGAGCAGATATCTGGCACCTTCCTTGTAGCCGTAAGATGCTTATACTTTTGTAGCACACATTAAAATGCATGTAAATTGGTTTTATTTTGCCTCAGGCCTTAGAGAAAAAACGAGCGGACCGGTCAGTCACATTAGCGGCTGTTAGCAGCGGCGGCTCCATTAAGAGCTGCGGTGGAGTTTAAGTGTGAATAAAAATCAGACATTTCTTACCTTAACTTTGATCAACATGCTGACTGGAGAATATACTACAATTAGAAAGTGTATCAACTGCTCAGTGAGCGAAACACTTGCCAAATTGACGAATAACAACCTGCTTGTCGAGCTAACTTGACTTTACTTCCTGTGTAGCGCGCTCACAGTCCGGGCGTGACGGCGTAACACTGCACCAGCACGAAGGTTCCGCACTGAAGAGGAACAGAAGAAACTCACAGCAGAGTTCATGTAGACAGAAATATTTAGATAAAGATAAACAAATAAAGCTTACTGCAGATTATATTTGGTCAGAAGTGTTTAGATCCAGATAAATAAATAATATGGATCAGTCATTACATTTTAGATACCAGTGCTGCTCCACCATCTTAGATTTAAGTATTTGTTATTTGAGATCCAAAACTAAGTTCTTCAAAATATTCTGGCTGAATGTTCACAATTTTTATATGATTTCAGACGTGGAGTTGTTTTGTTCATAATTTACTGCGATCTGCATGTCGTCATCATCAGCTTCTCTGTTCAATGTTCATTTCAAGTACATCCATGATCTATTCACTGCTTAATCTTCACTAGAGTCATGGGGGGCTGGAGTCTATCCCAGCTGACTCAGGGTGAAGGCAGGGGACACCCTGGACAGGTCGCCAATCTATCACAGGGCTACACTTAGAGCCAGACAACCAAGCACACTCACATTCACACCTACAGACAATTTAGAATCACCAATTAACCTCAACATCAACATGCTCAAGGTTTTGACATGTTTTTGGACCTTGTGGGAGGAAGGCCGAGAACCCGGAGAGAACATGCAAATTCCACGCAGAAAGATCCGGCGACCTTCTTGTTGGGAGGCAACGGTGCTAACCACTGCTCCACCTTGCAGCCCCATTTCTAGTATATGTATGTGAATGTTCAATAAGGCAAAATAACCCTTGAATATTGCTAAACTTCAGCATGAAGGCAACATGGAAGCAACCTGTAACTTTGCACATGTAAAGACAAAATGTAGACCCCAATGCACACCAGTATTTGTCGTCCCGTGAATTAATCCACATCATTGTTTTGACATGTCAAAATAGCAAAAAACTAGAACATTGGCTTGCCACATATCAAATATGACTGATGTTAGAAGCTTTAAAAGTTGATAAAATGTTGACCAGAGACAGTACTTTTAGAAGGAAATATGGATGCATGCATGAAAAAGAACATACATGCTTACAGGAACTCTCTAGGACATCAATACCATCATTTAATTTATTTTTTTTTCCTCTCCCTTTTTTAAGGGCCAGTAATTAAAAATCTGGCATCTGCTGGAGCAATCTGACTGTTTGGATTTGGTGGAACCCAATCTGTCTGCATCCTCATCAAATTTCATGGCTGTGAGAATTATATTTACGGAGATATTGAACCCTAAATATGACCTCCCGCGAAGATGATTTGTTTTCATTATTATTATTCAAAATAGAGATATAAAAGGAATAGGAAATTCTTAAAATTCAGCATAAATGTTTTATAAATCTTTGTTTTTGGCCCTAAAGAACATGAAGATTATGAAGATTTAACAAAATCTGAGACAGTGGAGCAACATATTTTGAACTGACATGGACTGACCCATATATGAGCTGCATAATTTTATACAACATGTTAAATGATTGGATTGTTATTAAAGCTACAAAAGCACATAAGGAGCATTTTAACTGTTGCTGGTTGAGATGGAGTTAGTTTCATGTATGTGACTGTTGTTGAGAGGTTTAAACTGAAACCCATCCGATAAATGTTGAGTAAAATGTACGGCAAAGTAGAAATATAAAGGACAAGAACAATCAAAGCACAGAAATCAAAATAGTACCTTGCTATGTCCCATCTTTGCATTTGGAAATTGTCAAAGTGGACAGTAATTATGAGAAGGCACAAAACATGAAGACTACATGAGAAGAAAGTGCAGCTCTGCTTTCACACAGATGTTGGTGATTCAGCTGATTAGGCAGGAAGTCTATAAAGTGCTTCGGTTCCACAGGGTTCTGGATCATTTAGTCATGGTGACTCATCTGTACCTCGGTGTGATAGTTCTGGCTGTTTTTGCAACAACCGTTGCAAACGCAGGTAATTTTTCGCACATGCATGTAGATGCTTTCCAACCGTGTGCGCTTGTTTTTTTTCAGAAACTGACGATCATGAGCATTTGTGTACAGATATCAAGTTTGAATGTGGGAAAAACAGCGTAAGCGTCACATGGAAGATCAGTCCGGAGCTGGTGCCGTACGCAGCTCGACTCTTCCTGGGAAACTGCATGCCATCCGAGTTACAAGTTCTGCCCACTGGAGCCGGGGAGGCCAAGTTCAACTACCGGTTTGACGACTGCAAGTTTAAAAAAATGGTAATGAAGCTGCAATATTTGACCATAATACCTTTCAGCTGCTCGCTTTACTAACCAGCTTCCCTTCTCTACAGATGAAAGGGAAACACATCATCTATCAAAATGAACTGAGCTACAGGCCACAGGCAAAATCGAAGCCTGCAGTCTTTGTGTTTCCCATCAAATGTATTTATAAAAGGTAGAAAGTCCTTTTTGGTTAAAATTCCATTGAAATGAATGAACTGTGAGCTGAGGAACCTCGCTGTTGTATTTCAGACCTGAGGGCTGGGTTCCCCCTTTCTTGAACCCTGGATCAGGTGTTTCTGACGGTCACAGTGGGCTGGTCTTCCACATGGCGCTCCTCAACGGTAGGTCCTCGCTCTGCCGAATAAAACACAAGATAATCAAAGATGCTTTTCTGAGACTCTACACTTCCTCACAGAGCAAATGACGGGCATAGCAAAGACAAACATCATCACTCTGGGCTCATTCATGCCAATATGGGCAGCAGTGGAGCAGAAGTCCCATCAGCCACTGCTGCTGCTCATGGAGGAATGTGTTGCCGCCACCACGGCAGAGCTGCACTACGGCAGCCAAGTTTACCCCCTCATCAGCAATAAGGGGTAAGGTCAGATGCTGCTTAATCTGTAGGCGGCGTAGCGCAAGAGATGCTAATGTGAAGTTTAAATTCCTGTAGGTGTCTTTTGGAGAGCGTCAGAGGAAGCTCCAAGTTCTTGCCTCGGTATCACTCTTCAGCCATCATCCTCCACCTCCAGTCCTTCAAGTTTGGTCTCGGAGAGGAGGTGAGGGAGCAAAAAGTGACTGGCTTTGGGAATGTTTTTTCTTTTTAAATTGATTTTGACTGAAGTTTTGTGCTCCTCAGGTGTACATCCACTGTAAACTGGTGGCATGGGACCCTGAAAGACTTGATGAAACCAAGAAAGCTTGTCATTTTGTCAAGGAAAAGGCGAGGTAATGATGGTTTAAAGGGGTAATCCCCAAAATGGGCCTCAGGAGACCAAGTGGGGGTTTTGAGGAGATTTCCAAAAATCAAATATTTACTAGAAATGGCACATTTAGTCAGAACTACTACAAAAGATAACACATTTACATTTAATCACCTCCATGTATAGTTGGGGTTTATAAGTTTCTGGGGCTGTTATTTTGAGGTTCAAGGGCTAAAATGTTTTGGCACCCCTGGTTTGACCCTAAAACCCACTTTTATGTTTGACACAAACAAAATTACACCATTTATTAGAGAAAGAAATTGTAAAAACAGAAGGAATAATTTGAGCTTCAAAAAATTTCTTTTCTAAATGAGAAAATCTGATGGATTTGAACGAATCATGTGTGACTTTGGGTTTTATCTCAGAAAAACAAACAAATCTGAGCTTTAAGTTGCGGTATTTCATGAAAGACACATTCCACACGTCTCCATTTAAAAAATTGCCCAAAATTAAGCTTTTGCAGTAATGTTGTTTAAAAAAAAAAAAAGAAAAAAAAAACTACAAATAATAGGCCATAACTGACTCAGCCAGACAGTGATGTAACACATTCAGGGGCTTCTCAGCTGAACTGCAGAACAGATGGGAGACCAGGGTGGAAACAGTTTAGTTTAAAGCAAGTTTTGAAGTCTGTAAAATTAATTAATTCTTGCCATAAGTTGGATAAAATGATGAATGTCACTCATATCTGTGTACAAAGTATAATGTAGCTAAATCCATGGGGCGATTAGCTTAGCATAAAGACGGTAGCACTGACACTTGCAAAGCCTGGCTTTACTCAAAGTGAGAAAAATACAAGCATCAGAAGACTAAAGCTGAATTAACAAAGTTTTTCTATGTATTTTATCTGTGCATAAATAGAAATGGTAAAATAATGGGAAAGTAGCTGTCCTGGCCATTACCTGGAAGGCCTTTTTTTTTTTTTTTAATTAAATGACCCATTTCTAGTGAACTAGTTGTGCATCTGATCTCTTAAAAATAAATCTCTGAAAGGGAATCTCCCAAAATCTCAAAGTATTTCTTAATTTTATTCGTGCTGTACTCATGTAAAATCCACAAACTGCTTTCATGGGAGGAATATAGAAAAGCAGATGTCTAAATATAGAGTTTTAATGTAAACTGCTGTTATGTCTTTTCTGTGTGTGTTTTACCAACCCTGTGCTGGTATAATTGCTCGCTGTGTTTGCTGCTTCCCTCAGCTGGGAACTCCTCGATGACCCACCTCAGAGTTCCCTCTGCAGCTGCTGTGATTCAACCTGCAAGTCTCGGTCCAAGAGAGGAGTTCACTGGGGTATCATTTGTATGCTAACTTGAACATTTTTTTAGATGTTGGTTGCTTTTGGGAAAAAAAAAAAAAATCCTTATTTCATCTGATTTCTCCCACTTGCAGCATCCGACAGCTTGAGTCACAACTCTGTGGTGGGGCCGCTCATCATCGTGGACCGGTCTGACACGAAGGCCAACAGCACCTTAGTGGGGTCTGGCTCTGCAGCTGATGTTCAGGTGCAATAATCTACCATCATGAATTTATGTTTTTTTGTCCTACAGATTGGAAGTTTGCATCCCACTGGACATGAGGTGAAGTTTTGATATTTTGTCTTAACAGGAGAAGCTCAGTCCAAAGTGACAGCGACTCCGGAGCAGCAGCAGACGGGCCAGCGACAGAGGGACTCAACCTTTAGATCTACAAAACAAGGACATCGGCATCACACGATCTCTGTTTTTGTTTGCAGATTTATTAGAGCCTGCATCAGTAATTGTCACACTGCATGTAGTCTCATGATTTAAATAAATCAGATGTAAACCCCTTTTTGTGATTTGGTTCCTTCTTGTATGGTTTATCAGTAAACACCAGCTCATAGTTTAATGCTGCTGTTTGTCAGCTTGGATCATTACTTTTGGTGGCCACAAAATCACAAAACTTGGCTGTTTCAAGGCAGCAACTGTCACATTTTTTTGTTTTGTTTAAATGTGTGGATTTGCTCCTATAAATACAAACTTTTGTTTAAAGGGCAGTAGTGGAAATATTCAGATTCCTTAGTTTAGAAGTACAAATACAATGTAAAGTCTTGTATGCCCTGCATTTATATATATAAATCCAACTTAAGTAGAAGTATGTGAGGATTTACAAGTATTTAAAGTACTGGTCTGATCCCTCAGATTAACAGTGAAGCATCAGCATGTTGTTGCTCAGATGGAGCTAGTTTGAACTACTTAGTTTTTCTGTAATCTATTTTTTTTTTTTGATGAGATGTTTGCTCATTTGAGTATGTATTGAAATTAAACTGAGGGAAAAGAAAACACTATTTGCTGGAGCTGGTAGCACCTCAGACATGTGGTGTGACCAAGATTACACACTGCTTTTTTTTAGGATGTCAGAATTAAAAAAAAAAAAAAAAAGAAGAAGCTTGGAAGCCACTGGTTTAATCTTTAACTGTGTTCCAAAAGCTTGATTGTACAATTAATACAATCTTCATCTTAAAAAGTAAATGTCTCATTCGTGTGGTGGAGTAAAAATACAGTATTTCAGTGTAAAGTAGCGTTAAATGGCTCTACTCAAGAAAGCACCTCAAAGTGGCACCTAAATGCAGCACTACAGTGAATGTACTTAATGACTTTCCACACCTGCCCTCATGTACCGGTCTTTGTGGGTCATGTGATTTAAAGGATGCAACCCCTTAAATTTAGACATTTTTCTTTCACACATCTCACAACTGTCTCACATTTGTCTTCAAGTGTCAGACCAAGCTGAATCTCTCTCCACAGATTAATCAGATTCAGGAGCAGATATGAAAGTGAGAATGTCAGTCTATGTGGTTTTGTGTAGCAATGAGATGAAAAAATTCTGATTTCGGACACTTTTCAAAGGAGAGGGCTGGACTTTTTCTGCTTTATATACATAAATGCTGGATAATGGTAAGTCTTAGGTTGTTTTTTTTAAGGAGGTTGCTGTTTTGTCCTGATGATGCTGTGCACATTGACATACACTGCTCAAAAAAATTAAAAGAACACTTAATTCTTATCTCATTTTGTTCTCATTAGTTACACAATGTGTATCACTGATTGGACAGTGGAAAACAAAATGTTTAACCCACTGACGGGGGGATAAACAATCACTTCCTAAGTAGACAGATCAATATCCCAGAACTTTAGTTGAATTGATGTTATACTGTGTTGATTAAGTGTTCCCTTAATGTTTTTGAGCTGTATACCTCACACATACTGCAGCTCCCAATTTAACCATTATTTCAAGCCTGCAGCTTGGTTGCAAGTAAAATGCTATGACTTTGACTTTAGGGCTGAGTTTAATACCATAAACAATAAACCATATACCTGCTTTTCTTTTTCATGTGTCACTTCTTAATGCTTGTTCATGACTACAACGACATGTAAACCTTCTGTTTTAAAATGAATCTGCTTCCTGTTGCAATTACACTGATGGATGCCGCAGCTGGATCTGTTGATACACACCAGGTGAAAGAAGTTTCCTCGATTGACGCGTCTCACTCAGAGGAAATAAAACCACCTACAGAGCCGGCAGCAACTGTTCGGTCAGCATGGCTTCCTTCTGGTGTTGTGCGCTGCTCTTGAGCCTGGTAGCTGCCGGTTTAGTCAATGCAGGTAATATTTCAGGTCGTTTTAAATGTTTTTAAGATGGTGATTTTCTGCATTAATGGAGCAGAAACTTCCCACTGTGTCCCTAACAGACATGAAACTGGACTGCAGGCCTGATTACATGACGCTGGTGTGGACCGAGAGCAGACCGCAGGCCGACACCTCACTCCTCCGGCTGGGCAGCTGCTTTCCCACCAGCGTCACAGTTCGAGAGGCTGTTTTCAGCGTGGACCTCAATGATTGTCACTTCAGGAGACTGGTGAGTAGCTCAGAAGTGGGTGTTTGAATAAAGCACATCCCTACAGGTCAGTGACGCTTTTCTCTCTCTTAGGTTACCGGGAATCACCTGATGTACACCAATGATCTGATTTACTATTCTCCTCCTAATTCTCTCATCCCTTCCTTCACTCTCCCTGTTGTCTGTGCGTATGAAAGGTTGGTGTTTATATGACTTTAAGTGAGAAAATGAGCAAACAAGATCATGATTTCAGAGCTCTACAGATTAAATGCTGAGATTAATCTTTATTTTGCGCAGGCCCAAAGACTGGTTCCCAGCCATTTATGAACCAGTGTTTAGTACATTCAATCGAGATGATCTCGTGTTCCATTTTGGACTTATGAATGGTGGGTGTGACGACATATCTTCTGTAGGAGCAGATCAGGAAACGCTGTTCTGTATTTGGTGTGAATGGGTCTCACGTTAATGGGTTGAATGTCAATTTTACTTGCATAAGGTAGGAACCCTTCTGTCTAGATAGGGTTTCCAAGCGGAAAGGGACAAACCAGTTTTGGACCGTTGAGCAACACACATGAAAATTGCTGTATGTATGGATGGTGATTTGGAAATGTGCACTTTTTTTGGAGTTGTTTTTTTTTTGGCAGCCAGTGAAGAGAGAGACGGGAAAGTGGGTCATGAGTGCAGTAAAGGGTCATGAGCGGGATTCAAACTCATGGCCACTGCATCGTGGATTATAGCCCCTGTACATGGGTCGCCAGCTCAACCAGTTGAGCTATAGCAGCAGCCCAGAAATATGCACTTTAAGAAAATTTGGATATCAAATAAAGAAACTGTATCATAAAGCAATAGGAGTTTGATTTTAATTCATCAGACATGGGTAATATATCAGTTTTCCTGTTTGGATTCCTTCAGTGGCTGAAAGCATTGACTTAGCCTCTACAATGCAAGTCAAAAACTGGTTTGTCCCCATCCAGTTGGAAACCCTACCTAGACAGAAAGGTTCCTACCATTTTGTAGGTAAAATTGACACTCAACACATTAACGTGAGACCCATTCACACCAAATACAGAATCCTGATCAGCTCCTACCTGCTCAATGAAAATGACAAAATTCTCAGCGACTCCCACAGCCCGATAACGTCTCTGTATCTGCGGCTCTAGCGGACTTCTCTGGCCCTGCCGAATCCACCAGTTTTTCCCTGGGCTCCTTCATCCCCATCATGGCCAGCGTGGAGCAGCAGCACCATCAGCCCTTGCTGCTGCTTCTGGATGAATGTGTAGCTGCCACAACACCGGAGCTGCAGCATGAAAGCAATTTATACCCAATAATCACCAATAAGGGGTACGACTCTCACATTAGCCACAAATCACTGACCTACTGGTTTTTATTTTTGGCCAGATATTCAAGTAACTCAAATGTTTGTTGCTGTTTTAACCACACAGGTGTCTCATGGACAGCAAGACGTCACGCTCAAAATATGAACCAAGAGTGAAGACGTCAGAGATCCGCTTGTCCCTTCAAGCCTTTAAGTTTGCTCTGGGAGAGGACGTAAGTGGTTATTTCTTTAAATGTAAGGCTCCATGGGGAGAAATTCAATCAAATATTACTTGTAAATGTCCGAACACTGTTCATCCAACAGGTATTCATCCACTGCAACCTTGTGGCTTGGGACCCCAATGCTCTTGACCACACCAAGAAGGCCTGTCACTATGTTAAAGATCATGGGTAAAAGACCTAACTTAATTATGTCTTTAAGTAAACTGTACTGGGAGAATCAAGGGGAACCCAACAGTAGAGATTCAGTGGATATTTAATGTTTGACCATTTCGTAGTAGAATTGGGTCGTTCAATCTCAAATATCACATTTTTAGAAACATTCCTGTTTGAGCATCTCTGATTTGTCTGAAAACTGAATCCTTGAATCTAAAGTCTACTGCGCAAATCAACATTTTAAAGCATGAAGTAGGAATATTTATATAGACAACTGAAGTTTTAACTTATTTTATTAAATGAAGAAACTTAAACTTTTTGGTTACCTGTTGACCCACTTTCAGCAGGTATTTAAATTTTCTTTTCTCTTTTTGTACTAAAATTAAGGCTGTTTAAGTGTTAATACCTCAGGGACTATTAAAGATAAAAGCCGAAATGTTCACTGTTTTAATTGTATCCAGAATCTGCAATACTGGACTAGTAGATCAAATAGCCTGATTCATGGATGATTTAAAATATGAAAAACAAATTAAAGCTGTAATGAAAAGTCCAATCTTTAAGCACAGATTAAGAAAAAAATATAACACAAGTCAATTAGTGATATTTTCTTAACCATATTTAGTCACAATAATAATTTAGAATACTCTAATTTCAGATACCATTTTAAGTATTTATAGTTTATGATAAAGTTTCAAACAATTCAGACATGGTCGAGCAGAAAGCCTCTGATGTGAGATAGAGTCAAACCCCAGCTAATCACTGTCTTATGTCTTGTTGCTGTGTTCAGCTGGGAGCTGCTGGATCATCCTACATACAGCAGTTATTGTGACTGCTGTGAAACCAGCTGCAAGTCCAGGAAGACGAGAAGTCTGGCATCAGGTATCCATTTGCGCGATGTGTCCCGTAATGAAATGGTCCCGCTGCACTCATCTAAAAATTCTTGTCTTTGCAGGGAAGCATGGAGTCGAACGTAAAGCAGTCCTTGGGCCCATTACCGTCACTGATTCCTGAGATATCAAAGTGAGCAACTAACTAAATTAAAATATGTGCACATCATTGTCCTCAACTGCCCTCAAACTCTTTGTTCCCAACAGGAATGGCTCCGTCTGATCAACTGGCTCCTTCACTCTGATTTGGGTTTTTATTCTAAGTTACACAAGCTTCTAAAAGCTCAGTGGTTGTCTCTGTATTTCAGATCCAAGGCCATTAAAGATGCATCCACTTGACTTACTTTTGTCTTGTCTCTTTAAATGGTCTTTATAGCTTGCTTTTATTTTTTCAAAAAGGTGCACAGCTGGAAGATGTCACTGCAATATATATAAACTACATCAAATATTAGGAAAAAATGCAGCTCTTACATGTTTACACAGAATGACAATTGTACAACTCATATGAAGCCAAACATTGGAGGGGGGAAGCACAGAATTACACCTCCTACTCGTCTACCATCAGAGTGCCAATAAATGCTTATTCATACTCTCTCAAAAGGAGATTTCATTTTATGGGATGGATCTTGAGAGCGAAATAATTCCAGTTCATGTCTCCGTAACTATCAGTTTCAGTCTGTCTTATTAATTTTGTGGTTATAGGCAAAGTGTGAACAGTGATCGTGCTGTCAGAAAATCTCAGTTGGGGGGGAAACATTTGCTCTGGAGGAGTGACTGTCTGTGAAACTACAAGGCTGTGGTTTATAATGAAGCAAAATCTGATTACCATATTTCTGATGAACAACTTGGGGGGAAAAACCAAGTCCAGTCAATTTTTGCAAACTCTTTCATCAAGAGGATATCAAATTCTAACTATTCAAAAAATCAGTTCTTTTAAGATCCACCCTTATATCTGAAGAAACATTACAGGTTAAATTGGGTGATATTACCTGAATGAAACCTGCATTAAAAAGTAAAATATTTTGAATGTCCTTGCTAGTGTGACAGAAAATGCAAAGGGTTCCAAATATTTTGGTTTTTTTTGGTTTTTCCAGTTAAAGGCAGATGTACTCCCTGACAAAATCACCCCCAGTCATTCTATTGCAATTAATTATTTCATAATAGTGATTTAGGTCATCTGATTAAAAACTCTGGTTTTTATTCATATTGCAGAAAAAAAAATATTGTATCAGTTTCCCCCCTTAATATCATGCAGCCCTACAAAAGACTATGATTAAACCATGAGCGAACATATATACAAGTCGTGACATGTGGTGCCAGAGGTTGGTTTTTTAAAAGGTCAGGTTGTGTAAAATTCCAAGAATTCATGGAGTAAATCACTGAGAAAAGACATTACTCGGTGCTAAACAGATTAAGGTTTCCTAATGATACTTTCTAAGGTGAAAAATGGCAAATAATTAATGGATTTTTTTGTTGTTGTAGTTTCTGGATTGATATATGGGGCTGCAAGGTGGATCGGTGGTTAGCACCACTGCCTCGCAGCATGTTCTCCCCGTGCAGCGTGGGTTCTGTCCGGGTTCTCCGACTTCCTCCCACAGTCCAAAAACATGTTGAGGTTAATTGGTGATTCTAAATTGTCTGTAGGTGTGAATGTGAGTGTGCTTGGTTGTCTGTCTCTAAGTGTAGCCCTGTGATAGACTGGTGACCTGTCCAGGTGAACCTGCCTTCACCCTGATTCAGCTGGGATAGACTCCAGCCCCCCACGACCCCAGTGAGGATTTAGTGGTGTACAGATAATGGATGGATTGATTAATGAATGGATTTTTTAAATTCCACATTTATTCCCAGGCAAATCTCTATACTACTAACAATAATAATACTAAATAATAATACACTTTATTTCTATGGTACCTTTCCAACTGGAATTACAAGGTGCTTTATGGAACATTAAAATGCATAGTGTTAGAAAACAAAAATAAAACATTAAAAGAAGACAAACATTAGTGAAGACAGAACAACCTTGAAAACAGCAATAAAACAGCAGGGAAAGAAGGAATGTTGCCAAAGGGGAAAAAAAATCTTCATTTTCTTTCAAAATAAAATGAATTTATTTCACATAGAATATGTATTTAGGACCTCATTATTTTGACCTGTCAACACTGACGCCTCTTACGTCCCTCAGCCAATCAGAACAGAGAACCGTACGCGCGAGGCGGGTCTTTTAAACTGAGCTGCCGTGAAACGTCTCTTCTGTCGGGAACAAGCTTCAGCTTCTCCTGAAGAGAGACTCAGGTAGAAGAAAAATTACAGAGATAGTATTTTTTGTACTGAAAGTTGTGTTTCTTATTGTCTTTGTTTTGTCAGTGTTTCCAGTATTTTGTCTAACCTCACAAGTATGTTCACAATTTAAGCTAGCTAACAAGCTAGCTAGCAAGTTCTGTGACCTTTAGCATGAACGTAAAATGGCTGCTTGAACCCATCTGTCACCTGTTCGTTCAGTTACTTGATTCAAGCTGGAAAACAAGTGAACGAAAATGATAAAAATTTGACTTTTTTAAATACTATTTTTAAAGGCATCACAAAACAAACAAACATCACTTTGTGTTTACTGTTTTTTTCCTGGTCGTAGGCCTCTTTCAGGCATAATAACAGTAATAATAACTTTGTTTGTATATATGATTTACCTTTTGACAACAAAGCTGTAAAGTGCTTTACAAAAAAATAAGTCAATTCGTAGGATGAGAGCAAATTCAACAGATAAGATTGTAAAAAATGCAACATGAACAAAATAAAATAGTCAAGACAGTGTTTTCATATAGAACATCTAAGACAGCAGCTGGGATTGGTGATACAGAAGTAATCTAACAAGAATAAATATTGCAGTTAAGACCTTATAGTATCATTTAAGGTGTAATTATACCTGAGTAATGTACATATTAGAGATTGAACTCTGCAAAAATGATAGAAAATGTTGCTTTACTTGACTATAATACAGATCGATGCTGAGACTCTACAGCGTTATACATTATGGAAAGTAATGAAACCAATGATAAATCTGGACACTTTACATTGCGGAAATTAACCTCACAAATACTGTGGCTAGAACCCTACAGTGTTGTTAATTGTGGCGATATAACTGGCAATTTAAAAAATATGTATTGTATTGTATTGTTGTGTAATCTTTGCAGAGGCAAAAGAGAAAGACTCCCTTGTGACATGCACTCCTCTCCATAAATCTGATTTCTGAATGTATGACTTCATGTTTGATCGAGAGCTGCATGGTGAAACGGTGGTCAGCACCGTTGTCTCGCAGCAAGAAGGTCGCTGGTTCGCATTTGACACCTGGGATCTTTCTGCGTGGAGTCTCCATGTTCTCCCCGTGCAGCGTGGGTTCTCTCCGGCTTCCTCCCCCACAGTCCAAAAACAAGTTGTGGTTAATTGGTGATACTAAATTGTCTGTAGGTGTGAATGTGAATGTGCTTGGTTGTCTGTCTATAAGTGTAGCCCTGTGATAGACTGGTGACCTGTCCAGGGTGTCCCCTGAGTCAGCTGAGATAGACTCCAGCCCCCCACGACCCTAGTGAGGATTAAACGGTGTACAGATAATGGATGGATGGATGTAATGTTTTATTTATTCAATCCATTTTTTTAAATATAGGGATATCAGTATTTGCTGCTCCAACAAAAGACCTCTCCACAACAGAATGTCTATAATGGAAGTGGTAATTGACATTTGGAGAGTGGAGTCAGAGACCAGAAATCACAAGTGCACATCTGCAATGCGTAGAGTTGATAAAGTTGTTGGTGCTGCTTCTGGAATGTTTTCCAGCTCTTCCTGAAGAGTTTGTTGAAGTTGGCGGGTGTTTATGGAGACAGAGTCCCACTGTCAGACGCGTCCATCCCGAGCATCGCGTGGCAGGTCGTGTGTCGCACCATGCTGTGAGAAACGATTTATTAGATGACAGATGGTGGAGTTGTGGACTTTAAAGCTACAGAGCCACAGCTCCAACTGACATACCAGCACCCAGCATGCCAGCCAGCAGCTTGCTCTCGTCTCTCTCTTGTCATCTGTGGCATTGTGTCATTTGAATAAAGCTGCATTTTAAGGTGGCTTTTTATAGTCATGGTCAAAGGAGCGCCTGTGTGCCGGTTAGCTGTCTGATCACTGTCCTGTAAAGCCACATCTGACTAGAGTGGGGATTGATTGGTCAGAAATTTGTCATGAGTTGAACAGCTCATTAGCTTTTGGTGCTCAGTTGGCTCAATTTGCCCATTTTCTAACTATAACAATAGAAATTAGCTTTTCAACTTTTTCTCTGGGCCCCGTGTATTTTAAGTACTTCATGTTCAAGTTTAGAAAGTCATCCTTGCTGCGCTATGATTCAGATTTGTCACAAAGCAGCTTCATTTGAAATTAAATACTTTTCAGATGATTTCAATGACCACTTAAGATGAGAGAGTATATTGCCCAAACCCTGGATGTCCTTCCAAAATGTGCCCTATCAGCCATCTAACTGTGACACCCAGAATCCTCTGTGATGCCAAATGCATTACTTTAGCTAAAAAGTGATGCTCGTACTTTCTCATGTTGTCTCCGTTTACAGCATTAGCATATAACTGAATATATTTCTGGTCAAGACTTGTGTTTTCATATTCTGTATATTTTCAAACTTTTATGTATTTTTTTTTTCTTTAATGGATGATATTGTTGTGTTCTTAATGAATAACGTAAAGTGTACATCATACATGACAAGCAATACGTATGTTTTGGATTTAGAAATGTAAATGCCTATTGTTTGCAATTGACATGGCTATCAAGAGCCACTGAAAACTGGTGCCGTTTTTGCGATAAGTGAGCCTGAGGAAGGAACATCTACATACTGCTGCACTACGTGACCAGAAGTGCGACTACACTTGAAAACGTCAACACCCTTTACTTAACATTCAGGCCGGTCTTGCTGTATTTAAATCCACAGATGTTGAAGTGGGTTGAGGTCAGGCCTTAAACAAACTAAAAAATCTATTTCTTTACGAACCTTGGGATGGGGGCATTATTATAGGAAAAGAAGCAATTGTCTTCACCAAAGTGCTGCCACATAATTGGGAACACAGCTGTCAACAACAATGTTTGTATTTGTTTCTGTTTCATGATCCAAAACCATGAAAAAATAACCCAAGACCGAAGGTACACAAATGCATTTAAACATGGTTGTCCACTTATTTATGGTCAGGTAGTGTAACATTTAATCTAACATAATTTGTTTATTGTGATCTTTCATTTCTTTGCAGACAAGGAAGCACAAAGAACTAAAAATGGACTGGTTCCATTGCAACCAGTGCTTCACAAAGAGAGGGTCGAAGTTTGCCGTCTCCAGCTGTGGCCACATCTGCTGTGAAGCGTGCATTCAGTCTAGTAAGAGAGTTACATTCTCTCCAAAGCTAAATGAATTTACTTTCACATTATATCCAGAGTTCTCTTTCAGATTTGATCTGGTGTGACAGAAAAGTTTCTTGGCACTAATGACTTTTGTGATTTTTTTTTTGTGTGTCTTACCTCAGAGCAGTGCAGTGTATGTGGAGCGAGCTGCAGCTATCTGGCCATCAGTGATGAGGTTGGTGCGTCTGACATATTCACAGTAAATTACTGTCCAACGCCGCCAATGGACTGTGACCTTATTTCACACAGCCAACGATTTCTATCTGTGCAAATTTCTATTTCAGATGAAGCCACAGGAGAAAGTGTTTTTCAAGGACCCTATGAAGCTCATCCAGTCACGGATGCAACACATCACACAGGTCCAAGCTCCCTTTCCTCTGTCATTTGTAATTGTTGTCGCAAGATGTTAGATGTCAGAGTCAAATAATATCGAGTCAGTGCGCCATTCAGCAAGAGACGGAAAAATAGAATGCACTTCAGTGTTGCTGTGCTGTTACATTCAGAAATCTCTGAGCAGTTATCCACCAGCCAAAGTTGATTTATGGATTGTTTTACGTTTTTGACTGAAATGACGTTAAGTAGTGATGTCTTGATGCTCCTCAGATTGCGACTTTTCAGCAGACACAGATGGAGAGAGTCATAGCACACTTCAAGCACAAGTCTATTGAATTAGAGAGGCGTCTGAAGGAAGTCACCGAGCAGGCTTACAGGTGACTTTAATATCTGCCATCGTTTCTCTGTCGCTGTGTAAATCAAATCCAAACACCTTTCCTCCCTCGTCTGTTGCCACAAGGCAACTCTCAGAGCTGAAGAGAGAGAATGCGGACTTAAAAAAGCAGCTTTCAGAGCTCAAAAGAGAAACTGCCGAGTTAAAAAAGCCACTTTCTCAGAGGAGGGTGAGTGCTCCAAAGATTTATGAAAGAAAATGTTCAAGCTGCCAAAAAAATCAAGTTACAAAGCTAATTTAGTCTGCACACTCTCTGTGCCACAGGTTTCTCCAGGACAGTTTCACACTGAAGGGTAAAAGCTAATTTACACGTTTAAAGAAAACTTTCATGTATGGCTTTTAAACTATTACTTTTTTTTTTTGACTCCCAGCACTCAGAGGATGACACTTCCTGTGGCTGTCACCTCCCCAGGTAACCTCAGTGATTAAAGCTGGATTGTTACAGTTCTCAGAGCTGCTCAGTTTTAGATGTGTTGATTCAAGTTGACGATAAGCTCGTTCATGTTTCTTTCACCAGTTACCCCTCGTCAAAGACCTATGAGGTACACATCACACTGTATCATCATGTTCTAGTTGATTTCATTCTTGACAGCATGTAAACATTCACATGTTGTCTGGGTCTCAGTCATATAGGCTCAGCAGAGTCTCGGAGGTGGGCCAGAGACAGAGGTCCGACCTTCTCCCTTCATGTAAGTCTCAAACCAATATTCCATCTATGTTGCTTTTCAGACCGAAATTAATCTCATGGTAATCATTGGTAATCAAGTGCATTTTTTCAAAATAAAAAAATGTGTGTATATTTGTATGGCAACTTCTTCTTGTTGCTGAAATCTTAACTCAGGTTGCATTCAACTAGGTTTTACTGGAGCTTTTCAGAGGGTTCATCTGCGTCTTATGGTCTTCTTTAGAGGATGTTGTTGTCTTTAACCGCTTGAAGGTGGTATCACCTTGACAACTGAGTAACTCCCTCCACGGATGACGGCTGCCAGATGTGGTTGAAACCTTCAGAAATAGCACAAATTTTCATGCTCAATCAGAATAACAAATTCCTAGACCAGATGCTTGGTCGGATAGAATGTGGAAACTACACCGTGGCCTTCAGGGGAGGTTGGAAATGACAGATGCAACGTTCATAAAACACTTGACTTATCTTTTGTTAGTCGCTATTCCTATTATTAAGAATAATGAAACTGTTGAAGAGTAGTTGCTGGTGTGTACTCTGAGCACCACAGAGGACTGGAATTGTTCTGTTTGTCTTTTTTTCTTTACATCACTTGGTATCAAGATTTTTTTTTCTGCTTTTTGAAGTAAAGTGAGTCAACGTTTTGATATTGGGCTGTAATGCGTTGATGACGAAAAACCGCATGTATGCGTTTACTAAAGTGAATCAGAGATGAATCACCGTCATGCATCAGTCATGCATCGATAATAACCCAATATTACACATGATCCATGATGATGACGATGTAAAAAAAAGAAGAAACGTGGCAAAATTTTTATACTGTCAACATCAAGAGCTTTTGTACGAGTAGACAAGACAAGCTCCCCCTTGGCTCCTGTGTCATTCACACCTTATAGTGTTTATTTAATACTAAAATCCAAACATCAAGCAAAGCTTTTTGTCCAACATACGTTCCATGTGGTTCCAAGTTTAAAAATACATAGAATTTAGTTTGAGGTTTTTCTACATGAAATACAGAAAACACTTTACCATGTTTCTGTTTCATCAGACTCCTGGATCAACTACCTCCATGTCCAGCCACAGTTCTCTTCATGAATACAGTAAGTGTGACTGTGATCAAGCTCTTGCAGCTCTGCCATCGCGCCTGCAGTTAAACCGAATACTTTGCCTCAACAAATCAGAAACTGAACGCATGCCATCCTCAGTCAAAATCCTTCTCCTCTGTTTTGAAAAGGAACACCCACATCCTTCAGCACTCCTACAAGGTGAGAAATGCTTTCTAAACAACCTCTGCCATGAAGCATCGTATCACATTTCTAAATGTTCTTGATGGGATGGTTTTCTCAGGTAACTGAGTCAGTGCATTTCTGTCTTCCTCAGAACGCAGACTCCCAATGTTTTGCAGCTCCCGTTTATGAGTGGATTGTCAGTACAGTCACCTAGGCATTGACTCAATAGGTGCATACACTCCTGGGGACAGCTTTTTTAGTTATAGAGTCTTCGTGTTGGTCATTAGGACCCAAAACGTTACTGTAGTTTTATGCCTGCCCAAAAACCTAAAGTGCTGTGTACATTGTTTTACCTACATGAATGTTAACTTGATGTACCTTGTTCTGCTGTTAAGACATTAAACTGCCATATAATTGCAGCTGGATTTGTGGTAATGTATTATTTCTAGAAACACATTTTAGCAGCAATTTACCTCAGAGGCCTTTCTGCAGATTAACTTCACAGCCACTTGCCTTCGCTCACAAGACAGAATTTGCATGGACTAAAAATAAATAGCAATCGTAATCAGCTTTACAGCACACTGAAATAACTGTTTGCATACACGGTTATAAAGGCAAATCTTTTACTGGTTTCCAGTGACACAATTGTGCAAATGAGATTTTTTTTCAAACAGGAAAAAAAAACACATTAAAAACATCGGCAAAGGAAGACACTACGTGTTATGGACATTTCCCCACAGCATGACACATTAGCTTCTCATGACTAACAGGATGACGAAACAAAGTGATGCACACTGCTTTTGTCAAGTTTCTGGTCATCTAACCTTTTTCCAGACATTTCTAAGGAACTAAACTCAAAGCCCACTTCATCCTCTGTACGTCAGCTAAAAAGGTACTTTAGCATGTGGAGGTTTCTCTTCTTGCAAACACAGCTATGTAGGAAATAACTAATAAATACATGAACTGATAACCTGAAAGTATAATGTTTGTGCTATAAATCATAATGTAAGTTGACAAAGTAGTAATTTTCTTTGGATTTAAATCCTTTGCTACTTATACAGTATGTGGGCCCCCATCAGTTATCTTACCTAGTTTGTCTACATTAAAAACCATGAGGTCACACCCTATACCTATTAAGACAAAAGAGATATAAAAATACTGACTTAATCAATGAGCATGTAGGCAATTCTGACATCTGTATGACTTTGATGTGGTTACTGCTTCTTAGTACTGCCAACCTTGAGGCAAATATGTAATACGCAAACGACAAGCAAAGTATTCAAAATCAAGTATTACAGCAGAGCGTCTACAAGGGAGTCAGGGAATGTGTTTCAGAAATACACCGTAGACGTCAGATGTAACTCTATTTTCTATATCATGCTGTTTTTGAAAAAGCATGACCATAGGCTTCAGGTATCAAGAATGACACACGTATAGCTGAGAATTCGTGTTTAGTGAAATGAACGGATTTTTTTTAAATGTGAAATTATTGGATTTAATTAGCATAATGGCAGCAGGCTCTAAAACCAAAGTGCAAGATGTCAGTTTAAAGTGTACATGTCCAGTGTGCTTTTCATGACAAGGTATTATTGGCTGTAAAAGGAATGATTACACACAGCGATCACTCAACAAATTCATCAATGTAGAGATTTTTCTTCTTTTTTTTTTTTTTACGGAGCAGTAAAGTATCTGCTATAGCCAGGTACCAAAAGTACAACCAGTTTAAATTATACTGCTACAATAGCATACTAAAAAAAAAATCTGTAGTAGTGATGTCTAAACAAAAATAATGAGCTCGAAAAAATATAGCAAACCAGTGTACAGGTTACTGTCCTATTTACAGTAACACAGGCAGCACAATTATAATTCAAGTCCAAATATATTAGGATAAGCAGGGAATGCAGCATATATAAAAAACACAAACCTGACTTTGGGCTTGTACTGGGAAGACTGAATGTTACAAACCTGCCTCAATTAAAGCAATATAAACCAAACATGTGAGGAGACCCCCACTAACTTGTAGAAATGTCCTTAAGTAACAGTAGGTTCTTCATCAGTCTCCGCAACATCCTGAGCTGCAAACCAATCCCGCACCTGCTGGTAGCTCATTCTGGATTTCTTGCATAGAGAGTCAAGGTCTTTTTCATGTAGTGGGCCTGTTGAATGGTAGTATGTCATTAACGGCTGCATATCAGGGGAATCTCCACTTCCGTTTGCATGAGATTTTCGTTTGCGACCCCCAAGCCGAAGGGATGTGCCGCTTCCATTTGTAAAACCACTGCTGCTTTGCTGGGCAGCAAGTTCTGCCAGGAACTGGTCGCGGACCCCCTTCACCCATCGCAGCTGGCCGTTTTTGACAGCATACCGTGTGTCTCCAAACCACTGGATTACATCTGCCCGAGGTAAACCTGTGAGCTTAACAAGTTCAGTGTAATCTTCGCTCTTGGGCCACTGGCAGCGCAAGAAGTGCTGCTTTAACACATCCAGCTGCTGCTTGGTCTTTCTTGGTCGCCCAGCAGGAGTGAGGCTCGACGACGTGGAAGCCCCTGAGAAGCGTGAGGGTGTTTGTGAGGGACTGGTTTTGGCTGAGTGAACAGACTTCTTTGATGTGCTGACTCTGTTTGAAAGCGGTTTATTAGGTGAGGCAGTCGGCGGTGGACTGCCGGAGGGGGAAGAATAGGGAGAGGATTTTAATACATTTGTTGGTTCCACAGGAACATCTGGCTCAACCTTGCAGTTCTTGGTCAATTGTAAAGGTTGTTCTTCAATTTGTTCCTCATCCTTCAAACTGTCTCCATCACCAGACAGATCCTCAATAACGTCAAATCCTTGTGCATCAAGGACCCTTTCTCCAAATGCTTCCAGGCTGTTGGACAAAAAGGTCTGAAAGAAATGTGAGTTTCTAATCCCATTGCTGCGGACTCCCTCATGGCCTTTCACCCCATTTAGCTGACGAGACTTTTGAGAAATAAGTGGAAGAGGTTGTGGTTGTTGATCCTGCTTGCTGCTAACAGCAGTGTGGTGAGAATAGTTCTGTGCTGCTGCCAGGCTCCCTCGACCAACTCGTAGCTGGTAACGACTGTCACTGAACCATTTACGAATGTCGTTACGAGTCAGGCCAGTTTCTTCCTGCAGTCGTCTGAGCTCCGCCTCTGCAGGCCAGTTCTCTCTCAGGAAGCTTTTGCGAAGGGCAGCAAGCTGAACTTTAGTCTTTTTGTAGCGTCCGTGACGGTGCGGTCGTGAAGCCGACTCTGAAAGGTCGAGGGAGCCATCAGTTGCTGTGGTTGCTGGCGTGTCTGCTGGTGGGCGGTAGAAATATGAATCCTGAGGAGGTGGGAGGGTGGAACTGAAACACGGGGCAGTGGATTTGGCTGGTTTATATGAATCTGGTGACTCACACTTTGGGATCTTCTTCGGGGGCATGACGGTGGACAGAGCAGCCTCCTCTTCATCGCTTTCCTTATCGTCAATAACCAATTCCTCAAAACTTTTGCTCTTGGTCTCTGGTTTGGCTTCCTCAGTTGCTTCAGTGGAATCATCTTGAAGCTCAGGCACTGCCAGCTTCCGTCGTGTCTCCTCGATCTCCTCCGATGACCAGCTGATACCATATTTAATTCTCTGCACCATAAACCACACCTTAACTTTGTCCAGTGGCAAGGCACATACCCGGGCCAGGGTGTTAACCTCCCGGGATGACGGGTATGGAAATAAGTTAAAGGCTTGGACGAGCTCTGGGATTGCGTCGAGTTCACGGGTCTGATCAGACTGTGTCCATACCAGTTTGAGTCCCTCCGACACCAGAGGGAGGCACACAACAGAGTTGTGGTTGGTGGTGAAACTCGCGACCCCACTTGTGTTGCTGTCAGCTGAGGTGGCAGGGTGGCGCGAGTCCTTGGCGGGGTGTTTAGCTTCCAGCTTTCCTTCACATTCTGTCTCCGTTACTTTTCCTTCAAAAGGCTCCTTCATGCCCACAAATAGTCCATTTCTGCTGGTTTTTTCAATGTAGGCTGCCATCTGGGCTATCGCAATAGGCTGCGTCACCTACAAAAGAAACAAAAGCAGCAATTTAGTTGTTGTTTTGCTTGTCGAGCCGTTTTAACTTCACAGATAAGATCACAGTGAAGAGGACAATTCTTTCCTAGGAGTACGCACTGATGTTTTCAGAACTTTCTGTTCTCATTCATTCTCAGAGTCAATTATCTGACAGCTGTGTCCCCTTCCCTTCCCTTCCCTTCCCCCCCACCCCGCTTTACTCTCCTTATTCTGAACTCTCAATGAAACTGGTCGTATAGCTACTCTGTCCAGACTGGGACTCCCCTCCCCCCAAAGTGTGGTGGCTGACTTTTGTTTTGTGTGAGTGGGGGGATTGGTCGCAAAGGGGTGGGAGCGAAGGGGCATGGGGATCTATGAGAAATCCATCACAGCCTACTTTCTCACCCCTTCTTCCCAGTCAGGCTTTGTTCCACTTCCAAGTTCTCAGTCGTGGAAGATAAGCGTCGCCTCGTCACAAAAGGCAGCGGCCACGAGAGAAACCTGTAGAAAGAGAAAACAACTTACATTAGCCACACTTAAGTCTGGGCACATGAACTGGATTACACAATAGAAAGAAATAGATTTTTTAAGCAACAGGTGTTGGACTAGCACTTTAACACATCACAATCATGGGCAGAAGGCTGAAAACAAGGAATTCAGATAAAGTTCTGGATCACTGTTTGGTTTTTTTTGTTTTTTTTAACCCACTGCAGTCTTCACCAAAACATACCAACCAGGTGTTTGAAACTCCAACACCACACAGTCTCATAAGTAAGCACTGGTCATTTTGGAGGAGCTGTTCTTTATTTGGAGCAGAGGACATGTTGCGCATTTAGTCGGGAGGTTACGCCATGGCCGACGACTCAGGTCGCCTAAACCACCAAAAGAAATGTTGGAAGTGTAACACAAACATTAGCTTACAATTATGAAATCACAGCGTTAGTCACTGGTGACACGCTACAAACCAACGGGAATGAGATCATGAGGTGGCCCCCCGATTTGTTCCATGTTTTGCTTTGAGTCTCATATAGAGTTTTTTTTTTTTTTAGTTTGTTTTATTTTTGTTTTCATGCCACGAAAATCGGCAAAAGTTGCTGTTGTGCGTCTGTGACAATAGCAGTCCAGTGTCTCCCCCCTTTATGGCGTACTAACTAAAACGCTTCACACTGCACAGGCGCACTTCGCCGTCAGACACGCTTCACTGAAACATAAAAATAAACTTACCGAAAACGCCAAAACAACCCTTTATTCCCGAGGTCCGTCCGAGCGAAACGAAAACCAAAAGCGACGCGGAGTTTCCCCGTCCACCACCCCGCTTCTTTTATGGCCTAAGTTTAGAGGTAGAGCCGTGAAACAATACCGTCCGTGTGTTTGTTTGACCCTTGTCTTATTTATCAAGCGCCTCGACGGATTACGGTCGAGCCACAAAGATGCGAGGCGACCAAGTTTGTCGCCTGTCGAAGGAGTTCAGTCGTCGGCTAAATTTCCCGGCGAAGAGGACACAAAAAAAAAATCTCCAATCCGTGGGATTCAGGTCTGAATCCGAGTCGCCGTTTATTCGTCCCCTCCTTCGGTCCGCCCGTTGTTGCTTTTGTTCTTTAACTGAGAAGTGTTTCCCCTGTCCGGCCAGATCGAGGCGAGGCGGAGCTGAGGACCAGGAAGCCCACAAGGCCCAACCGACTCTCCCACAGTGACGGCGGGGTGGGTGTGCCAGTCTGGGCAGAGCAGGCCGTGGATTGGAGGGAGGAGGCGCCTGTATAATAAATCCGTGACAGTAGGCCAAACATTTTCACGTCAGCCACCCACCAGCACCCCCTGTACCAAGGCGACAAAACATCAGATGTGATTTTTAACAAGAGGAATCGTCTTATTGCGTCTGAGCAGTCCCTCTGCTCTCCCTACATGAGAGCAATCACGTTACACTCACAGGGTCTTCCTTTGTACACTGCCTATAAAAGGGCCACCGTTGAAATTGTTCTCTTTTTTATTTAATTTGACTTCATGGACAAGAATCTACAAAGAAAGACTCTTTCATATCAAAGAAAAAGCACATTTCTACAAAGCAATATCACGTAATTATAAATATAAAATATCAATAAGTGCTTAAGTATTAACCCCGGTATGGTACACGTCCACGGGGGCTTTTTTACACATGAGGCGACTGTTTTCCAATATTGCACGCTTCACTAGTAGATGGTGTGATGGCAGGCGCTTACCTTCACCGCAAACCAGTCCTGTAAGGCGTCCCACAACCAGGCGACTCGGTTGGAAAGGTTCTCTTTTATTACAAAAACAGTTCTGCGACAAACATTTCTGAAAACATTGGAGGTGAGAAATAAGCTATAAGCTCCTCATTTTAGTTTAACAACGGCTAGTCTATAGGCTTTATGAAAGCTTTGCAAGGCGTTGGACCTCCACTAGAAAAAGCTTTATTGTCGCACAAAAAATCGAACAAAATTTTCATTTGTAGCAGCTAATATGGTCACAGTCTAAGGAGAAAAAAAAGTTAAAGGGTCACATAGGTACAAACAGTCTGGACTTGACATTCTGACCCTAACAATCCAAAACCTTGCGATCCGACAGGTTTTCAGGAAAAACGAACGGAACCCATAAAAAATAGCCTTAACATGCCGACAACCTTGGATTCCAACATGACATTTCATGCCACAATAAGGACAACGGCGTATTTTCTGACTTAAAAATCCAACACATTTACTTACCTTTGATGTTAACCAACGGGCCCGAGCACAACCGCACCGGTCAGTTCGGCGTGAAATCCAACAATGTGTAGTGTTCTAACAATACACGAGTTATTATAACAACTATAAACAATAAATATTAACAACAAATGAGCCTTCAAGCATCAAGCCCTCCTTGTATCTCGACCTCCGTCTTGACAATCCGACAGCCTTGCTATCCGACACAAAAGAAGGTTTTACATTTAGTGTCAGATTATCAAGTCACGGCTGTATATAATAATAATATATATATAATACTCGATGCGCCCTATTAGCATAAAGTAGCTGAAACCTCAACTTTATGCAAATTAAGTGCAGGCAGCTGGCGGGCAGCACAATGCCCTGTCACTCGAAGCACAACGCTACCAGAATACAATATGGGGCGTTTCACAAAGACAATTAATGAAAGCGTTGAAGTGACGGATCACGTACCATTAGAGTGACTCACCTACGTCATTACAGGTGCGAACTGGTGCTTGAATGCACAATTAGTGTAATGGAGATCATCTGAGTGCAGTCGATGCATTTCCAGTGATTGTAGTGTAAAGACACCTGTATCTGGAAGGTCTAGTCCAGGGGTGTTGAACTCCGGTCCTCGAGGGCCGCAATCCTGCAAGTTTTAGATGTTTCCCTCTTCCAACACACCTGATTCAAATGATCAGCTTGGTGCTCCTGGCCATAGCTACGCCATGAAGACGAAACAGCAGTTCGAGCAACTCAGTTAAAGGTTGTTGAAAAGCATAAATCAAGGGAAAGCGACAAGAAAATTCAAATCAGTGAATACCCCTGAATTACAGCTGGTTCATCATTAAGAAATGGAGAGAATATTGCATGTTTGTTGAGTAGGCCGTCCTCCAAAACTGAGTGCAAGAGAGAAACTAGTGAAGGAGGCCACCAAGACAGCTATGACTCCTCTGAAGGAGTTACAAGCTTCAGCGATTAAGAAGGGAGAGAGTGCATTGAACAACAGTTTTTTCTTCATCAATCAAAGCTTTATGAGAGGGTGGCAAACAAAGAGCTACTAATGAAAAATCTTGTATTTTATATCTCCTCTGTAGTTCCACAGAAGGCATGTGGGAGACTCAGAAGTCAACTGCAAGAAGGTTTTTTGGACACCATCATGAACACACCATCCCCAACGTGAAGCATGGGGTAGCCAGGTAGAATCCTGCCTAATAACACCTTCAGAGGAGTCATTGGTGTCCTGGTGGCCTCCGCTACTACTGTCTTGCACAGTCTCTCCGTTTTGGAGGACGGCCTGCTCAAGGCACATTCATGCGAGTGCCACATTTGGTCAGTTTTTTTTTATTGATTTAACTGAACCCTAAGGGACATTCAGTAACTTCTAAATTTAATTTTCTTGTATCCACCTTGCTTCATGCTTTTCAACAACCTTGTCACAGAGTAGCTTGCAGTGTTCTTTTGTCTTCATGGTCAAGTTAAAGCCAGCAGTAATGATTTACCAGTGACCTTTCTAGATACAGGTGTGTTTTTGTAAATTCTTGCCAAAAAAGCCGAACTAAACTGACCATGGCTCAGTGTTGAAAAGCAGTAAAAGGAGAAAACTTGCACGGGGGATTAATACTTTTTAAAAGCAATGCATCTGCCACTAGGAGGTGTATGGGTCTAACTTTCAGGATTCCTATTTGAGAAACTACTCAGGACACTGAAATGTGGTTGTTCTGACCCTGACCTGTGAGAATTACATTTATAACTGTTTGGCCAAACAAAGAAAGAATATTTCCTAATAATGAGATTTTTATTGCTGGAACTATAGAGAATCACAGCATCTAGACCTTCAAGCTAGGAAGTAAAATACAGGAAAATAAACTGGAACCAGCAATTAAACACAGAAGCAAAAAAACACAAATAAACTACAAATCAGAATAATTAAAAGAGTTTTAAATTGCTCAACTTGTTTGACGCAGAAACTGATTCCCCTTAGCAAGCTGACAGAATTTGCTCTTTAGGTTTTTCATGTATGAAACAGAGGAAGTCTGAATTTGTGCTCGTGAGACAATCATCAGTACATTGCAGTTTAAAAGTGGAAATATTCGGCCACAGTGCTCACTGCTTATTGTGATCATGATTGTCTTTAAGCACATAAAACATCTGCACCTGTTAACATCATGAGGTCTAATGCTTGATGTTCACTGGAATCCTTTAACCAATCAGTCATTATATCTCAGTTATGGCAAACAATTGGTAGAAAAACTAGAAACCTTTTTGTTTAGTTCTGTTAATTTGAAAAAAGGAAATGTAAACAGCATCAGGTTTGCATTGTTTTATTTAACCATGTGTTAGCAGTAGTGGTGTGTGAGTATACAGATTTAATACAAATTTCACGAATGCAAAAATAAGTGCAAAATGCTTCTTCATCTGTTTTAAATTCCTTTGTTATCTGTGCAGTAATTAGCAAAATGACACTGAATGTAGTTATAACAAGAAATTGCAGTTTTTCACATTGTGTTGCTTCACCTACAGCTGGCTTTAGTGTTCATGTTAAATACAGACAGTATGTGAGGACATCCTTCATGCATACCTTGTTTACTTCAAACTTCACTGAATCAAAAGAGTTAAGCTCTGTAGCTGGAATGTGTATGAGTATACGCACTGGATAAATACTCCTTCAAAAATAATGTTGGGTCCAAATCCTCTTGTCACGCTTTAGCCATTCGTGATGGTTAAACCACTGAAATGAATTACCCTGCCATGTGAGGACTGACGCAGGGAACCTTTAGAACCGGCTATTTGCCAGAGTGAGCACAAAGCGTGGCAGGCGAATGAAAGAGGGGACAACAACCGAGAGCCAGGAGAGATACGGCGCCTGGCTCAGGAGGTATTTTATGGATGTGTAGTCAGCCACACTCCGGCCTGCAAAGAAACAAATACACTAAATATTAGAGTTGACTGCATTCAGTGACACGTTTAAGGTCTGTATTCTGCAAATCTTAAAAAAAGGGAAAAGAATTACAAATTTACCGTCAACGTCCTTTATTCCATAGCGCCTTGCCAGATCACAAGTCATGAGTATTTTCCCAGTCAGTGACATCAGATTTTTATCTTGAAGGCAAAAAGAGAAACCAAAACTCACTGAAAGACTTATCTGGACCGGTATGTGGTGCATCAGTTTCATGAAGCGTGTTAGGATGTGCAGATCAAAAACATGCACACAGTCACTGAACTGTTCACTCTAATAAAGCCTTTTTTGGCTGACATTTACTGGACTGCAGTTGAGTTGTTCATGCCACTTCACTTTCCTCTCATCAATCTGATTTTGAGGTGAACACTATTTTCAGTCTCGTCCTACCTTTTGCCAGGTTGACAATGCACTTCCCGCTCAGCTCTGTGGTTTCTCCGTCGGCAAAGACTTCTTTAAACTGAAGAAAAGAAAATCCAAAGATTTAGGATAAAACAGAAGTCGCTACCATGAAGAAGGTTTTGCTGTTAGACGTGAGTTTACCTTCGGATTTATACCCTGTGGTGTCTCTTTCTCCAGTACCATCTGAGTTATTAGCTCGGTTTGTACCGCTCCTGGCCACAGGCTGACAGAAGCCACTCCTCTGCTTTTTAGCTCGACAGCCGTGTCTGCTGCCAGCCTGTCACACTGGAAGCAAAACGCAAACAAAGTAGGTTCTTATTACATTGACAAGATATGAGAGAAGATACTGTCAAGTATAGTATTTAGATGTAATTGTGCAGCACACATACTGGGTCGCAGTGACATAAATCTCAATGTGAAGGCAACTTACTGCGGCTTTACCAACACCATATGGCACGTTGAAGAGGTACCGCATTCCTCCAAAAGATGAAATGGTCACTATCAAACCTCGACCTTGAGCAACCATCAACCGGGCCGCATAAACTGAGAAAAAATAGTGACCCCTGCCAAATGAGGAAAAACTGAAATAAGTCAAAAAGTTTCAGTCTCAGTTTTCAAATCGTAAAATACAAATGGCTACATTTTATATCCCTCACAGTTTCTTGGTTGTGTTGTTATGGTTTATAAACTAAAAACGGACAAAAACAAGTTTAGTGACATCTGATGTCTGGATAGACGAGTTTGCTCTCAATGACTCAGTGAACTCATGAGACAACATGAAGCAGGAAAGAATATGATACCTGAGTCCTGCGTTGTTGATGGAATCCCAGATAGATGGATCAGTTTCCCAGAACTTCTTCCCCATGTTATCAAAGATATCCTGGAGTTACACAACATGTTCAGATCATCAGGGACCTTCTGCTCTAAAACATTCCCATGTTAAAAACTTTACATTTCTAATTTCTACTGACAGAACCATTTTGAAACTCCAAAACTCTGTATCCTACTGGGCTCAAACTGTCTGCTACGCAGTTATGAAAGTTCAGCAAAAATAACTTCATGCATGTAGCATGCAACTACATATGCTTCAGAAAATATCACTGGTTGACTTCTGCAATGGGAAATAACAGTAATAATAGTTATTAATTAATAGATCCTGAGATATTACCATTCACACACAGCCCCAAATTAAAATGCATGAAAATGTGCAGAACTGGATTTAACATGCAATTCAATATATATATATAAATATTTGACATATCAAGCTAAAATTCACAGTTACATGTTCAATTCACTGTATTAAATCTGTGAAACACCAACAACTGTTTCTTGTTTGGGCAGTAGTGATGCCAACCTGTACTCCTGCGTAGGCATTATTAACCAGCATATCCAGTCTGCCATTCTGCTCACGTTTGACCCGGTCAAACAGCTGCTCGATGTCTTCACATTTCGTAGAATCACAGACAGCGGGCAGACACCTCCCACCTCTCTCGTTCACCTGTGTTTAGAGTAAAGACATCATCCTGAAACGCGACTAGTGAGCAGAAAGTAAACAGATGCAGCATTTTCTAAGACATCCACTGGACAAAGACTTTGGAGCTTCGTCAACTGGTCACCCACAAATGCCATCGCTGTCAGAGATTGCCTTTTCAAACATCCATTTTCTAATTTAACCACTGTATTAAAAAAAAAAGAGCAAGCTGTTAAATTCACCTGTGCAGCAGTTTCCTTCAGAGTCTTCTCCTGGCGTCCCGTGATGTAGACGGTAGCTCCCGCCTCAGACAGCTGGAGAGCTATTCCTCTGCCAATACCCCTGGAGGCACCTGTAACTACACACACCCAGCCAGAGAGGGACATCTTCTCTGGGGGAGGAATCAACAGTACGTACAGTATGCAGTCAGCTCGAGTACAACGCGTAGGCTGAAAAACATTACAAGTGCATGATTACATCGGATTCATAATCGGTACTGGCTGATAAAATTAATCATCTGCATCAAATCCAGAATGAGCACTAGGAGGCGGATAATGCTTGCGAGCTACAAGTTTCCATTTTTGTTTGAAAATGGGACATAAAAGTAAATACGGCAAGTATACAATGTAAGCTCAGGCTTAGTGAAGCACTGTATTCTCTGCCTGTATCTGCTCGTGGGCCATCATGATAAGATGAGGCATGATAGCACCGTAATTGCACCACTAGATAAGATGTTTTCTGTAATTACCAAAAAAAAAAATCAAATCAAATCTGCAAAAATCCAATAGTATGCCTTCCTAAAATGATCCACACCATGAATAAAATGTCTGTATGGACTGAATAAGGTCAATGGGAATTAAAAATAGTCATAGATTAAGTGGAAGATTACAAATTAAGCGCTCACATGGTGTCATCAGTGACTCTGCATTATTGCCGCCCACTTGACCAGAGTTCACCGACTGAACTCACCCAGTTTGTGCAACTACTGAGTAAGTAGTCACTGTTACTCAGTGTTTTGCATGTAAGATTCAAAACTGACCTTGGTATTTTTTAGTTAGACACACAATGACTTGTCATAGCAAGGCAACTGTTAAATGTAAGAGAAAAGTACAGCATAAAAAATGAACACCATGTCCTAAAACTTAAGTTCCACTAACTTCTATTGAGTAACACGCCCCCTTTTTTTATATACTCCTTATAATAAAACACATTTCCATGTTAAACTTTTATTGTTCTTGAATACTTTCACGATAAACTCTTTATTAACTGAAAGACTTTTCCACAGAGAAACAACGACTCATTTTAACAACTAAATTAGCGTCTATTTAAATTCTAACCTGCTGTTATTTAACACAGCAAAAAATGTAAAAACAAACCAAAAAAAACAGAAACGCTTGTAAACAGCACTAGCAAACTTGCATTAGAACAACAACAACAATACCTTATAGCGGCGCAGCTGGTTTGTCAAGTCCCAGTTAAAGTCCTTCCAAGGAGGAGCAGGACGAGGAAACGTGTCGAGAGTAACAGTCGCGGTTGTCTGCTATTTGCTTTTATGCTGTTAACGAGATTCAACACTGCAACGTGACAGTTACAAGACGACCTGAACGCCCCTTGGGATAATATCGCGAGAATACCCGAGATTAAGCAGAGAGTTCTTGTAAGAGGGTTCAGTCGCGCAGACTTCCTCCTTCGTCTAAATCCCGGTGGACAATATCCAACTCCACATTCACACAAAATGATGATGTGATTTAAAATATTACTTTAAAGCACAGAAAACAGTGTATGATTGAAGTGCAGGGCGCATGCGCAGCTGGAGATTTAGTAGTTAAGTAACATTAAGATGTTAATACACTTGTAGGTTGAAGACAGCTTACATAATGGCAGGACAAAGGGAGTGAACTATCTGGACTAACAGAGATATTGTTAGGTTTAACTTACTGCACAGCAACACATGATGGCGCTGTAGTCTTAACTCCCAGTCATACACAGCTGAGCAAACCATTTGCAAGATTCTTTTTTGAAATCAATGATCTTTTTATTGAATTTTCAAATGAGAGAATTAACAATGTAAAGATTTCCTTTGTGTGTTACACAGCAGTAGAAAGTAAAAAGTAGTAGTGAGCACAAATTCTATTTAGAGTATTTGTACAGTGACAACCCAAAAATGAAAAAGACAAACAACCCTAAAACAGACCAAGAAAAAGAAAAACACAAGAAAAATCATGGCTCAATCTGCAAAACATTCCTGGCAAAAACCAACCTAATCAGAGAGTGACTCCGGTAACAAGTCCTCAAAGCAGCAAGAAATGTACAAGGCTGTAAGACTGGATGTCAAGTTCTTTTTGTCTTTCCTTATCTTTATCTCCCCTTGCCTTGTCTCGAAGTGAAATTGCAGTAAATACATTAAGGATGCATGTAAGTCGAATCAGTGTGGATTAGAAAGGTATCTTACCCATTTTCAAGATTTGATCCAACCTGACAACCATTCAGATTACTTGTAAACAACTCCCCCCTACTGTATGGTGTCTGTGCTAAATTAGTTGTTGTCATTGTCTAGCTGATATAAATGTGTTAAATAATCACGATCATTTAGAAACTGTGGTCATATCTACAGGAATGTGCACCCTTCTTGCTGCTGTAGTGTAGTCACTGCAACCACAGTACTTTGCATAGTCTATAATTTTGTTTATACGTCACCAAGTGAATATACCATGTAATGGTAAGTGAAGTGGAATGGAGCTCTAAAAGATAGCGCCCGGTCAGGTCTAATGTTTGTTTTGGGGTTAAAAGTATGTGGGTTGAGTTTTGGTCCAATTTTCATGAAGTCACATCATGAAAAAGATAACCTTGATTGAAAAGATCTAGTTAATCATTAAGAAACTTTACGGGAAGCTGTCAGGTGAAGATGGGATCCTGTAAACAGAAAAGAGAGAAAAAAAAGCTCAACGACAGTATCAGTTATGTATATTTGCTTTAGAAGATTTTAAACCACTGCCCAGACTTGCTGTCAGTCCTCTCCTGCACCAATAGGAGCTGCAAAACTCTCATATTTATCTTCTTTCTAAGGACATTGACTCTGGTGACATCAGATCCAAGCATAGCTCCAGTTGGTGCCAATCAGTTGTTGATTTTACTAATATGGAAGCAAAAACTTGAGAAAGTGTCACATAATTTTATTTCAAAAGATGCAGTGTTTAAGTATATTATTTTCCACTGCAGAACACTCAGATTGAATAACTAGTGAATTATCTTTGTGATATCCTGTTCTGTACTGTTTTAATGGGCATGCATTTTAGTCTCTTAGTATATTTTACATTGTAGCTGTTGCCTACTGAAATATTCTCATATATGTCTATATATACAGAAATGGGCTGCAAGGTGGCTCGGTGGTTAGCACTGTTGCCTCGCCGCAAGAAGGTCGCTGGTTCGCATCCCGGTGAGGACACCCAGGATCTTTCTGTATGGAGTTTGCATGTTCTCTCTGTGCAGCGTGGGTTCTCTCCGGGTTCTCCAGCTTCCTCCCACAGTCCAAACACAGGTTGAGGTTAATTGGTGATTCTAAATTGTCCGTAGGTGTGAATGTGAGTGTGCTTGGTTGTCTGTCTCTAAGTGTAGCTCTGTGATGGACTGGCGACCTGTCCAGGGTGTCCCCTGCCTTTGCCCTGAGTCAGCTGGGATAGACTCCAGCCCCCCATGACCCACGTTGTTTAGTTAATTGACAATACAACAATATTTCATACTGATTCACCTCCACGATCAAAACTGTCTATTGCACAGAGTAATGGGAACATTGTTTTTTGGAAACAGATGTTGCTGTTAAATCTTTTAAATGACATTTTACAATGCTGAGAGCGATACACACAAACTACACTGGTCTCCATTGTGTCGCGGTGGAGGTAGGCGTCTCCAAATGGGATCTCTCCAAACAAAACTGAAAGTAAATGTCTTTTGAAATCCTGGAAATGTTTGTTGAGGGAATCATGTTACAGTTTCAGTTTTCTTTTTTCAAAACGGGCATCATGTTTAACACGTCTGCAATTAGTGGAATGATTCATGGTTTGGAGTCAGTGTGCAGGTATTACTGGTTTGAGCAGTGCTGCTTTCCTGCAGCCTTGCACATACATGTGATGTGTGCATACAGGGTTTTTCTATCTGAATATGCAACAACAGTCTGTTTACAGCAAAGTCAATGAGTCAGTGATACCTTATCTGACAAGAATCTTGATATTTTCCTGTTGTTTCTGACCATCTGATGACAAAAAAAATGTCTGTTTTACTCGCATAAATGAACCGCAATCAACAAAACTGGTTACATTTATTCTAAATTCTTACCATTTGCTGCTGTCATTTTACCTCTGAGGCACCTGAAACCTCTCTGGTAAGGGAGTCAAAAAATCCTCTATGCAGGAAAAACCCTGGTAAAGTTACATTCTTTGATCAGTTAGCGGAACACCAGGACTTGTGTTTTTGTTGGTGGCACGATAGCTCAGCGGTTTTAACCGTTGTTATATAGAAAGAAGGTTCAAAGTTCAAACACATCAGTGAGCTGTGACGTTTCTGTTTGGAGTTTGCATGTTGTCTTTGGGGGTTTCAGCGTATGGGAGTTTCCTCTGGGTTTTCCATGTTTTTTTCCACAGAGGGAATCAGTTGAGTCTATGTGAAAATGTTTCAACTGACTCAGTGTCAATATTAGAATATATAGTCACTACACACCAAACAAAACAGAAATTTGTAGAACACATGCCGTTTTTTTGAAAGTACGAGTGCATCAACTTGTGTTTATCGCCATCACTGCAAAAATCAGGACTGTAAATCGGGAGTACGTCTGTGTCAAATCTCCGTCACACTGAGAGCTGAGAAGAAATTAAAATTCAGTCTCACAGGACAAAACACTCAAGTGCATCCAAAGAGGCAGGGCGATACAGCGAAGTGACTTTATTATGGAATGATAATGATGAAGGCGTACAGGTCGGGCCGGTGCAGAAAGCAAGAACAGGATCTTACGATGTGATAGACAACAAGAATCTCGAGTGGGAGAGATAGAAACCGATTTGTATAAATACACAGGAGGAAATGTGGAAGAACTGAATGAGTTGATGATATGAATGAGGTGAGAGGGAAAAGCTGAGGGCTTCAGGTGTGTGGATGAACAACGGCAGGAGAAATGCTTGAACTGGAAAGTGGGAATGTGGTTGCAGAGAGGGTCTGAAAGGTGGAATGGAAAGAATAGAAAAAACCAGGGCAGGAGCTGTGACAGAGCAAACGCTGACTGGTGATGGGGTGCAATCTGTTTTATGGGTGAGATAACTCCTGTCAGTGTCAAATGTAGGGTTTTCTTTTTGAAGATTAGGTGTCTCTTACTATGACATATCTCGTGTTGTAAAATGTCCACACGCCAGTTATTTGTCCGTGGAGAAGAGCTGAATCATATTATTTACCGAGCACTTGTTTACACAGAGACAGAAGTTGTGTTTGTACAGTCTGACTGGACCTGAAGCTTGCAGGCCAAGTGTCCTACATTGACCTAGATTCGTTTGCATTTATATGTTGTAAAAAGAATTGTATTCATAAGTTTTATTTTCGTCCAATTTGAACAATTTTCACCATGTTTGGTGGTTTGCTATTTCAAAGAGGCAACTCTGTAGTTGTGCAGAAAGCACCAAATGTTCAGAAACGTTCTTGAATACATGTAGCATGTATTGTTAAGTTTTTATGCTTCAGTATGTATTTTAGAGTATTTTTCCTTTATTCAGTAGCACACGGACGAGTTCAAGCAGAATCTTACGGTAGTTGTTATTCACTCACATGAATACTACATTAAAAACACTCATTAACTTTGTTTAAATTAATAGCACTTGTCAATTTCAAGTAGTCATTCTTAGAAATTAGCATAACCTGAAATGACTGAACATCACACTTCGCCTTTACAAAAGACATTTTAGTGTATATTTGTTTAGGGAAACCGTTTTACTTCTTCTATAGAGAGTCAAAGGCTGGGAAAGTGCAATGTTTGAACAAACTATTCTACCTGCTTTTGTCAACATCCATTTTAAAGTTGGCAGGTCATCATAATCACTGCTGCTCGACACAAGCATGGCGGTCTATTTGAGTTTTGTTTAGGCATCTACCCAGGAAGCTGTCCCAGTTCGAGGGCCTCAGCAGCCTTTAGTCCCTCTTCCTCAGCCTTCCTCCTGTGTCTTTCAAAGGACCTCACACCATCATGAACTGTTCTCCTCCACACTATGCCGTCTAGTGGGGCTGTAGCTCCACCAGTCTCGCAGTCTTTGAAGGTCTTTTTGAGGGCGTCCTTATATCTCTTCTTAGGAGCAGAAGCGCTTCTGGTTCCTGAGGATAGCTGGCTAAAGAGAAGCTGTTTAGGTAGACGAGCACGTCCATTCTCACCATGTGTCCATACTGTTGTAGTCTGGTCTGATGTAACATACTGTAGCCTCGATGCTTGTCACGGAGCACCGGTCAAGAACCTCAGCATTGGTGACACGATCAAGCCATTTTATATTCAAGGTTGTGCGTAGATATGGTTGATGAAACTTCTCTTGTTGTTTTACTTGGTCAGGTTTTTTTCTTTTAATAATATTCAGTGATTTCAGCGTCTGGAGTTAGCTAAGGTTACTGTCAGGACTGACTTCTTTTGACATCCTACAAAATCATAACAAAATGCATCATTTTCAGCCTCCTTCCTGGTCTGGTTTACATATGACATCTAAATGAAGAGTTCATTTACAATAACTGATAACTCCATCTTTACAAACCTTCAGAAAACCCACTTTTCCATCGTCTACCTGAGACATTATCAATCAAACTTAAGTTATCTGTTTTTGTCATTTCTACTGAGTCAAATCCACTCAGCTTCAGTTTGATTGATATGATCTCAACCAAACGACAAAAAAAGTAAGTTTTCCTGAAAATCTGCGAAAATGTAGTTATCTGTTTTCGCAAATGAACTCTTCAAATATTGGCTCCCTGGCACTCTCTCTGGGATCGATTTTTGCCTGTTTCCACAATGTTTGCTGGAGACAAGAAACAAAAAAAGTGCAACGATCAAATAGGAAACTTCATCTCTTTTTTGCATGAACTTTTTAAGAAGGATACATTTATTTACTCATTTTTTTAAACTGTTCATTTGACTATTGTCTCATTTCCATTTTCTAATTAGCCTTAGTCATCATCTGTGTGTGTAGTTGGAAAGGTTTTTGTAAATATACTCAGTCATTCACTCCTCCTCTTCGGGGAAGCTGGTACTACCCCTGCTTATTGATTGTTTAGGTCAGTATAAAAAGCTGTACTCCTGCTGAGAGAAGAGCACATTTTTATGACAAAAAAAAAAAAAAAAACAACAGCTCAATGGCGGGAGGTTCCTACTTCTGTTGGATTCTTCTCCTTCTCATCGCCGTCTTTCGTGCTTCCGACAGCAGACATGGTAAGAAGCTGTAGTCATCCAAATATTCACCGGTTAATATGTGGTGATTAAAACACGAATTGCTGTGAAAAATAACAGTTGAAATGTCTCTCTTTTCTAGTACATCAAGTCAGTTCTCCAGACAGTCATAGAGGAGATTCATACGTCCCAGTAAGTCCACAAGACTCAACACATTTATAGACACGTAGAAATGTGGGCATTGCTGCTAGTGATACATGCTGTCTTCTTCATTGATTACCTCAGAAAACCCTACAAGTAAGAACACAGCCCGGGGATGTAAATAAAACGGTATGTAATGAACACTTTTTATACTTATGTGTATCTCCTCTGGTTTGCTGTAAGCAGTCAGAGCTTTTACTTGAGTAAAAGTAGCATTATCACAATGTAGAAACTCTCTCCTACAAGTGAAAGTCAGGCATTGACACGGTCGGTTACACAAGCACAGAATTATCCGCATTCAAATATAATGAAATTATCAAAAAAGTACTAAATCTGCAGAACTGTACACTTCAGAATCATGTATACTATACTGTTGGATTATGATTATTGATGCATTATTGTGTTCATCATTTCCCCTCTGGGATCACTCAAGTTTTATCTTCATCTGTGATATTGCATTAGAATGCATTTGTTGATTTTTTTTTTGGTATTATTAAACAAAATCTCCAATCGCAATATTTGCCTTTGAATTATGTTGGAGTAAAAGCACAGAGCAGAAGAAAATGCAAATACTGAAAGTACAAGTAACTCTAAATTGTACTTAAATACAGTAGTTGATAAATGTACTTTACACAGTGGTGATTAACGGTAAACTTTTAATACATGAAATGATTCAAAGTATTTAAAAATTGCTGTACAGTCATCCTTAAATGTGTTCATACCCTCCCATTAAAGAAGGACAAACCGCTGTCACTGAAATAAGTTGAAATTGACAAAAGTAATAATAAATAAACATTCAATGAAAATCATGGCATTGCTTTTGAATTGTGGTTCTATAGAAATTGAAAAAAAAACAAACAAACAAGCAAAACACAAGCATGATGGGACCCATAAACTAATATTTAGTTGAACAATCCTTTGAGCCAATCACTGCCATCATCAAGTGTTTTCTGTAACTCTCAGTCAGACTTCTGCACCTGTTGGCAGGTGTTTGGATTTCACTGCTCATCAGCAAAGTGCTCTAATTTGTCCGGGACAGTTTTTATTTTTTTTAAATGAGGTTTTTCACATCTTATTACATCTTATAACATCTTATTTCACTCAGCTACAACTTAGAATTTTTAAAAATTTATTATTACTTTTTTCAGTTTCTAGTTATTTGAGTGACTATGGTGAATTTTGCCTTTTCTTTAATGGAAGGAGATGAATACATTTGAGGACGACTGTTTTCACTCCAACTAAAGCAGTTGTTTTTTGTTCTTTTACAGTCAGCTCATGAATGCACTGGTAAGTGTTCTCTAAACATATAACTAACAACATTTGCATGTCAAACAAACTGTAACAGATGGAATATACTTCACTGTAAATGCAACGTGACATCGTCTCTCTTTTATCTTGCTGAATTTAACGTGCCTTTTCTTTGTATTACAGACCAGCTGACGTCGCTGAACAGGCAGCTTCAACAGACGTCTGTCCAAAAAAGCCAGTTAGGTGAGTACATGTGCGTGGTTTAAAGACTCGAATTGTGTCACTAGAACTGCTGGACTCATTGTTGCTCTGATATTCTGTAAAATGTGCAACGCTGACAGGTGAAGAAGCCTTTGTGTTGAGGGGAAAGGTCAGGCAGCTGAAACTGCAACTGGACACGTGCAGCTCGACCGCCTCGGCTGTTACCAGCTGTAAGCTTTACATCATGAGTTCTGCATATGTGGAACCAGCTGGAATGGCTCACAAAAGCAAATGTTCATATATATCTGTGATTTGTCGACAGCGTATCAAAACGAACTGCAGTTAAAACTGAAGCAGCAGCTCGAGAAATTTGACAACGATGCATTTCTGAGTAAGTTTAGCTCAAATCTTTGTTCAGACCTTTGCACCACCTGTCACAGTTTCTTTCTATATATTTTTTAAAAATATGGTCATGTAGAGTTTTATTTAATGTAATATTGTTTTTCTCTAGTTCTGAAAGTCATGGCACTCACCAGTGAGGTGAATAATTTACAGAAGAAGCTCAGACTTGATTCTAATTCTACGAAAGCTACTGAAATAGCTGGTGAGTCAGTCTGCTGACACAATCTTTACTTTAACCTGAGGCGTTTCTTGTCCTGCTATTGCAATTTTTATTTTAAAATATTTGTACTTCAGGTGTTTGATATTCTTCTTCAGCGTTATTCTTGTTGTTAGCATGATATGTCTTCAAATGAAGAGCTTTCATAACTTGTGTCCTACAGAGCTGCAGAGAGAGTTGGAAGAGAAGAGCGCCGAACTGAATGTTAAGAAACAGCAAATAGAACAAAACGTCGCAAACTCAACGCTCAGTAAGTGTATATTTAAAACACATTTGAGGAACAGAAGAAGAAGGAAGATTTTTCTGATTTGTGCAGTCGTTTTCAAATGTATTCAGACCCTTCCATTAAAGAAAAGCCAAAATTCACAAAAGTCACTCAAATAACTAGAAACTGAAAAAAGTAATAATAAATAAAAATTTTCTAAATTACAATTGAGTGAAATAAGATATTGCTTTTGAATTGTGGTTGAAAAGAATAATTTAAAAACAAAACAAACAAAACTGTCTCAGACAAATTAGAGCACTTTGCTGATGAGCAGTGAAATCCAAACAGCTGTCAACAGGTGCAGAAGTCTGATGGAGAGTTACAGAGAACACCTGATGATGGCAGTGATTGGCTCAAAGGGTTGTTCAACAGAATATTAGTTTATGGGTCCCATCATGCTTGTTTTCTTGTTTACTTTTATTTATTTATGATATTTATGTTGAACCACAATTCAAAAGCGATGTCTTGATTTTCATTAAATTTTTATTTCTTATTACGTTTGTCAATATGACAGCTGTTTGTTTTTCTTCTTTAATGGGAGGGTATGAATACATTTAAGGACGACTGTACAGCAAGTAGGTTTTTAAATATCTGTATCTATAAGCAGAAGTGAGTTCATTGATTACCGTTTGTTCAGTTCTTCAGATAATCTCGCTGCAAAGTCAGATCTGGGATTTACAACAGACGCAATCAAGACAGTCCGACAGGAGAATTCTGGGTAAGCTGCTTTGCCTTTGTTTGAAACACGTGCATGTCAATAAATGAAAGTTGCCTCTCTGTGACTCTGTGGTGGAGAAAGTATTCACATCTTTTCACAGTACTGATACCAAATTGTCCTGCACTGAAAATGTTACATAAGGAAAGTATCATCACAAGTATCATCAGTAAAAAAGTACTCAATACAGAAACATGTGGCTGTTATACCACCATAAAGTATATCATTGCATCATTATGACTGATTTATTTGTGTAAAATTTTGCTCATGAATGTTTCCATAGTGGATTTATCTGCTCATTATTTTCTTTCTTAGTTCAATTATCGTTTTCGTTCAGGGGGTGGAAAAAAATCTAAAAATAGTGAGAAATGCCATCACAAGTGGTAATTAAATTACATTACATTTTATAATAATTCTTTTCAAACAATTATTGACCTGACTAAAAGCAGAAGTTTAACATTCATAGTTTATTTAAATAATGTCACTTTAACATCATCTCACATTTGACAAATCTTCTTTCTGTTCAGCAGTTTCGCGTTGCAGGAATTATATTATATTATATTATATTATATTATATTATATTATATTATATTATATTATATTATACTAGAATTCTTACCTCAACACTGCAATATATTTGTTTTACAGTTTGGCTATTATCATGCTCATTCCTAACTGTATATACGTCCTACTGGCTCCTTTTGTAAATATATTTATATATTCTTATTTGTCTTTTTTATACTTGTATTTTGCACCACTGGAGTTGTCTTTTAATGTCATTGTACTTTGTGTATGACAATAAAAAGCAATTCTATTGTATTGTATTGTATTCTATTCTATTCTACTTTTTCTTCTGCCAACTTCCCATCAGCTCTACAAGAGCAGCTCGACAGGAAGATCGCTGAGCTGCGAGGCTCAGCAGCTGTCCCCTCAGCGAGTACGTGAGCTCATCTGTCCACATCTGCCAGTGTTTCCTTTATAATGAGCTGTGTTAAAAGCCTGTTGTCAGACCTTTCCTGACACACATTCTCTGTTGGTCCTGCAGTGCTGGAGCTGATTTCTGTGCGCCAGAAGATTACAGCAATACAGAAGACCATCAGTTTATACTTTGAGGAATCCAGAACCAACGTCGCCGGTGAGTTGGTGACTGTAGATGCTTGTCCACTCTTATTTGTGACACTATTAACATCTACTGCTTCATTATTTTATTTTTTTTTCAGATGTCCAGATGCAACTGAGACGAAAGACTGAACTCCTTAAAAAGAAGATTATGCAATTAAGTCGTGACGAGAACAACAAACAACTCAGTGAGAGCGCAATTCAACAATACGCATTTCTGTTGTTGTCGTTTTTGTGTTTACTGCAGCATTAATGTGGCGTCTTTTCTCTGCAGCCAGAGAAATTCTGGTGCTGCAGGGTGAGTTGGACCAGCTTGACAAGTTGGTGGTGAACACCACGAAGACAACTGACTACCAAATTCAAGGTGATTAACTCTTCTGGTCCGCTTGTCTTATTTTGGATCCACAATTTGTATAGATGCCTCAGCAGCAAAGGTAAAGAAGGCCTAACAGCTGTTGTTTTGATTCTAGAGATAAGAGTTCTTTTGGAAGAACAACGGAAACGGCAAATCATTTTACAGAAACAACTGGAGGAAGCAGATTATCCCCAGGCACAACTCAGTAAGTATTAAAGAGAATCAGACTGATCTCTGGGCTTGCCAAGTGGATTTATGCACTGTATTATATCGTAGCCACGACTTAATGAACTTTGTAATCAAATGTTGTGTCGC